CTTAGATCTTTTGGAAATTGGCAGAAATCCTTTTGGCACAATTACAAACTTTAATTATGCGTCATGCTGTCAAATCTATATATAGATAATACTCATTCATATCTACATGCATATGGAGCGTGCAAAACAGGAGCCGACGGAAATTAAACAATCAGAAATAAATCATTTATTATGACAGTGATTAAAATGCTTTATTTTATAGCAAATTGCTGGCCAATTTGTATACCAAATGCCCGATAACTCTTGGCAAATAGTTTCAAACACTAAATGCATTCAATTTAGAATTTTCATCGATTTATTTTAATATTTTGTACCAGATTATGATAATTTTTTCCCATTAGTTAAGCATAGGAATATATGCTAATATTATCCTTAGGGAAAACGTTTAACACAAAGATTATTCAGCACTTGTTTCTGCAAATTAATTCAATATTTCCTCTCATTACGCCAAAACACTTGAATCATTCATCAATCCTTGAGGCCAAGCGTGCTTGTTGCATCCTGCACTGCAGCTACACCGCCAATGTTGCTTCAATCTAATTTTAGTTAGAAGCTCTCAAAGTACACACGAGCATATGCAATTAAAGTTAATCCCCTATAATGTTCAGTGTTCAATGCAAGCATTATTAATCAATTAGGGTCGGATCCATTTACCTGAGGCCGTTGCTGATGACATTCAAATGTCTAAACAGGGCATTATCTCAAATCCCCACAGGGCTTGTGTCAACATCAAATATCTCGGCTTAGATTTGGCGCTCCGTTGGAAACTCAGTGGGAAAATCAGCACAGACAGGCTGCAAATGCACTTGCCATTTGCAATTTGCCATTTCGATTCGGTTGGCGATATCCGCCTACATATATTTCTCCCGAGATTCGGTGGCTCAACATTTTGCCAGTCTGTTCATTATACTCCGCCCTCCCTGCCCATTTTGTGGGCGGATTTGGTTCGGTTTTGAGAGCCGTACATCATGTGTGTCGTCATCGCTTGCCTTGGCCAACGAAGGTTCGGTTGAGGAGCACCGCAATACCACAGAACAGCAAAAAAAAAAAAAGGGAAAACCATGAAAAAATGACTATAATTGGCGTTGATTTATTGTCTTTGGTGGGCGCATCAAGATTGGGCGGCTGACCTCGTGGGCGTGCCCCACAAAACAAGCCGTGCCAAAAATTCAATTGTTTGAGCACCCGCACACCCCCACCCATAAAAATTATAAACTCGCTAGCACACAGATATACCATCCAAAATTTAATAATGCTCTCGGAATTGAAGTAGGGCTGCGACTGCAGCAGCGGCAGCGGCAGCGGCACCGGCTTCTGCGGTTGGTTGCGTGTTGTCTCTGGCCAGGAGTTTCTATTTAGATATGGCTGGGTTCGGCTCGAGCATGGCACTCCTCTCATTGTGCCAGTCTGTCTGCTGATGTCCATGAAAGTGGCATGAAAGCAGCGGGAAATGACAATGCCACAGGCTTGAAGACACGACACACAAACAGTGGGTCAAAGTTATTGTCAAATGGAATGGGAATCATGTAATTTGGGTAGTAAATATTTAGATGAACTGTAGGTAAAGGATAATTAATGCCGGGACCACTTAGTCCCTTGAATTTATTTCTGTAACATATTTATCGCACTCTCTTAAGCCTTTCTGTACACAAATTATAGCTGAATATATGAATGCACTTACTGCCTTGAAGCTCTAACCAAATCTACCCAGAATATAGTCAAACTTGACCTTGAAGCAAGATATTATACCCGTAAATTATTAAATATGTATTATTAAGTATTTCCAAGCTGCATACATCTAGTATTATTTCTAAGCCACACCAATGCTAAACAACACAAAATAATTTCAGTTGGTGTACTCTACAATATACTATGTATGTATGCAAATTCGTTTAGAGCTTTGCCTCATCAACAATGTCAAATATTATTCTGTGCAAATATCCAAACCACTGTTGACAATTCCAGTTAGTTGTGATAGAGAGGAGGAATAATGTTAGCAGTTGGGAGAAGGAGGCCGGGCCGGGCAGGGCTGGCCTGGCGTGCGTTCTTGTTTAGTTTTAGTTTTTCGTTCGAGTGGCATTGCATGACTGCATGCAAGCCGGTTTGGGCCGGGCCGGGCCAAGCCTTGTCCTTGCCTCGATTGTCGGCTGCTGCTGCTTCTACTTCTGCTGCTGCTGCTGCCATTTAAAAGCTAGCGTCCTGACATGCCACACAACAGGACTACCCGGGATACCCGCTCCAGGAACAACACAATTAGACAAATGAATAAACATACAAAACTTGGCAATGGCTTTGCCAGAAAATTTGCATATCCCATTTAATTGTACACTCCTCCTGCTGCTCCTCCTGCCAATGGACTATCTGCCGCCTTAAGTGCATTTCTGTGTCCTACCAGTACTCGTGTATTTTGTGTCTCACAACAATTGCCAATCGGCTAATAAGTATTTTCGTATTATGGCATTATACTCTGACCTGATTTAATATTTAATTAGGATTGCCCTGGCATTGAATGCGTGTGACTCCTGGATTGCCTAACTGCATGCACAGCCTGTGCAGCCTGTGCCTGCTATTTGTGGGTGTTCGTGCGCTCTATGCCGGAAGCACATGTCGTATACGTGATATTTGACAAACATTCCACACACATGCACTGCACATGCACATACTAAAGCTCTGGCCAAAACTGCATTTGAATGCTAAATATGTGTGCCGGTGCGGGTGTGGCGGCATGCTAAAAAAAAAAAGAGGGCTCTGACCATGCAGAGGCGTTGCTCCAACATGGCTTCAAATGTGGTAAAATGCATGCGGTTACACGGTCGAGCCAAGCCAAGCCGAACCACCACAGATTTGTGCGAAATAGAGTCATGAAATTAGTTGGCCGCCACTCGAGCGGTTAAGTATGACATTGCATTCGCTTTTATGGCTGCTCTCCTCTCCTTCCGTTTAATGCAATTTATGCTAATGGCAGCACCCATTTTCAGCACTCGCTTGAAGCGGCTTAAAGAGCTCAGCTCTTTAGCTCTCGACGCTCTTCTTTATGGCATTACGTCTGGGGCTAAGCTTTGTTGTTGATGCCATCCTTTAAGTTTTGGCTACACGAAAACTGCATAAATATTTCAGTCCTGCCGTGGCCGTTCATCACTTATTTATGCATTCAATATTCAACATGAATGAGCGCAAAAGTCTATGCAAAAAGAAAACACAAAGGCCCAGGAGCGTACAAAAGTTTTCAGTGTAAATATCTGTACAGACTTGAGGGGATTTTTGTGTTATTTTTTTGTGCCAGCGTTTTTAACAGAAAAGAATGAACAAGACTTGATACTTTAATGTATTAATATTAATACTTTAATATTACAGATCGAAATGGCATATAAGAAATCGATATTATTCCACAAGAAACTAAATAAGGCTTTTTATATATTTCCCAGATCTTAAAAGAGCTATCTTTATACTAAAACTCTGTCTTTGAAGCCCTCAACTAGTTCCTGAAACTAACCAAAATGTGTAACTATCTTTCACTTACTCCTTTGATATAAAATCAAAACCATTTCATTCGATTCTACGATTCTATTCGTTCTTTTGGAATGGCTTCATATCATTTTTAACGAATAATTCTTTTGGGAACTACAGTATCTGATATTCCTTCATGAATCTGGGCGCTTTAAATCTATTTGCAAAAAAATATTTCCTCAAATATTTAACAATTGAAACAAATACGAAAGCTGCGTTTTTCTACGATGATTTTATGTACGTAGGGCATCCATAGCTTCGGTTAGACTTTCTTTTGATTGTTTTAAACATATTTTTGACAGCCCGGAAATGAATGCAGCAATTTGCCTGGCAGGAAGAAGAAGTGTGATTCAGAGGCGAAGAACCGGCAAAAAGAATGGCAGAGCAGAGCTAAAGGGGGCAAATGTAAGCTATGCAAAAAGGGAACATAAATATGCTGCTTGGATTAAAACTGTCAAAGCTATTTCCGTTTCGCAGTGACCCCATTTTGGTCTATCTGGTGCTTAATCAATTCCAACTGAAAAATAGCCGTGACGTCGGAAATGGAACGTCCCCCCAACACTGCCCTACCCTAACCCTACCCTTTTTTTTCTAACCATTTCGCAAACACTCAACCATCTTCTCCCTCTCCCGCTCTCTCTCTCCCCTGCCTGTGTATGTGTGTGTGTGAGTAAGAGCAAATAGAATGGAAATGCAAAATGGAAATAGAGTGGAAATAGTTTGCAGCAAAAACTTTTTGACTTTTCGCTGATAAATATTGAAGGGCTGTTGAAATTTGTCAGTGAAAAAAGCGACAAGGATGCAGACTTGAGTTGGCAAAGAAATTGAATTTGCTAGGTTTATGGGATTACTTTCATGGCCTGTGATTTAATAGGACAGCATAGTTGGGGGCAAATGGCTGTGCGTTTTCCGTAAACTATGAAGCAAAAACCTTTCTCTGCTGCAGCACAAATACCCACTCGAATTAGCATTGGCAATCCATTTAGCATTTACCTCTGCAATCCTATTTCACTTACCAGTCTTAACTCAATTCAGAAGAAGATTTGCTAAGTGCAAATCAAAGCGGAGCAAACAAACAGCCAGAGCGAACTTGCATTCAATTCATTTGCATGCAAAGTGCTCATTAATTTCGTCTGGGAAGAACAACCTACCTACCTGCATACCTGCCCTTGCAGCGCGTGGCAAGTGAGTGCTGCAAGTACGCCAAAGTGCGCGCATAACTCGATTCGCGCCTTTGATTTATGGTACGCAATAATAATCTCCATTTGCATGTTACGCGCTGCGGCAACAGAGCCCGGCTGCAGACCCAACGGCAGTCAACAAGGCGTATACTCGATGTGCTCACACACACAAACATACTCGTACCTGCAACGAGTTGCACTTCCGGCTGCTGCAAGCCCACCACCTCCACCAGCAGCACTGATTTATGTAACTTTTTCCCTCACTCACTCACTCACTCACTCACCCGATCTCTATCTCTGCCTCTCTTTCAGAAATGGTTGCCTCATTAGCGACTTAGCGGAACGCGCCGCAAAGGAAACCGTAACCAAAAACCACCAAAAAAAAAAAAAGAAAAAAAAAGAACATCAAAATAAAGAGGATACCCCGAAAGGGCTTAAGAGCCGCAACAGCATCGTGTGCGCTCGTCAGGAAAAGGAAAAGGAAGCAGATGAACCCATAAAAAAAAAGGACAAAGAAATTGAATACTCGCCGGTTTTTCGGCGCCTTGCCAGCGAATTGAAGCAGCATGAGTTCGTACTCTGGCAACTAAAATCCCTCGTCTAACAGAGAGCACCTCAAATGAGTATTGATATTAAGCCATAAATCATAATTAACAAGCGTTAATTAAGCAACAACTGCAGACAAGAATAAGCACAAAGCAAAACAAAACCACGAACAAGTCAAAGCTGAAGTGGAAGTGGAAGTAAAAGTACAACAAGAACAACCATGGCCTCACCACCAGAAAGCCCCATCGAGGAGGTGGTCTATGAGTTGGAACAAACACGCGTGCCTAAGCCCATTCCCGTTGCCCTCGAGGATTTGTGCCGCCAAACAAAATTCACCAAGCAGGAAATCCGCGTCATGTACAGGGGATTCAAAACAGTAAGAGACTAACATATTTCAAGACTTATTTTTCCTCTACTACTATCTTTCTGAAACAGTTCAAGTTTGTTCAAAATTTATTAGAATAATTGGCAGATTAAGCAATAATTAATAAATATAGTCAGTACTCATACGATAAATAGTGAAAAACCGTAAGCATATATTAGTTTCCAGCTAGGTATATCTGTGTCTGATTAACTCATTTGCAATTCTCCAATTCTTTAAAGTTTAACAGCCAAATACAGCTGACCGGCGAAATGGCGTGCAAAAGAGAGTGCCATAAATGGCAGTCCATTTTAATGCACAAGCGTTTTGGGTTTCATTGCAAATGAATTGTACTTCTTTGTATGCGTTAGAGTCTGCCACTGCGTGTGTGTGGCAAGCAGCACTTGCAATCGCAGCAGCAGCATTTGCGCGTTCATTCGGAAAAAGTTTCTATACGTGTAGAATATGTGGGTCAACAGGAGATGAGCATTGGGTCAAGCAAATGGATAGTTTGCCTTTGCTTGCAGTGTTCGCTACACTCTGATACTGATACTGATACTTACTTTGCGCCATTGATAGTTTGTCTTACTGATAGTTTGTCTTATTGATGGTTTGCTTTATTGATCGTTATTATGGCTGATGGCTGTTCGCTGTTGGCTGCTGGCCTTATTGATGGCTTGCAGTTTCGAGGTCACTGCTGCGGGCACTGTTTACTCAATTAACCTGGCGAAAATTGTTTACTTTGGCAATAGAAAACTCTGAAAGTGTGGAAAAACTTTGTGAGCGTGCAGTTAAGCCTTCAAGATACATTGTTTGATAACCTACTTGGGTGTGTTATTGCGTATTGCGTATAGGATTACTTGGGTAATTTCATTTAAAGTACATATCTATGTAATAAAACCGACTAACCAACTGACTCATCAACGCAGGATAGCATTAAGGCCTTAAGCATTGGGCCAAGGCTTTTTTTTTCAATTGAATTTTGTTGTTAGTCCGAAATTTCTTCAAGAACTTCTAGAAATAGAGCATTCCACCAGATAGATTCCTTTTATTTTCCTAGTCGCTTAACATTTTGCTTATCCTCATTCATTACATTTGCTTTTTCTTTTTTGCCACTCATATTCAAGCAAACATTTTCATGGCGATTTCTTTCTTTTGCAGGAATGCCCCGAGGGCGTGGTGCACGAGGATTGTTTTAAGGATATTTACGCCAAATTCTTTCCACATGGCAGTAAGTATTTGTATATAAGTTGTGAGTGTGTGTGTGTCTTTGCCCCCACATTCTCAATGTGTGTGTGTGCCCATTCAATGTTGTCGCTGAGGTCTTATGCTTTGCCTTTTTATAGTTGCGCATCATAAAGCGCCACTTAAGCGACCATTTCGCTTTTGCAGCAGCTGCGTCCACACACAAATACCCCCAAAAAAAAAAAAGCCCACCGAAAAAGAAACTTCGACACGCCCCTAATTGTAATATATATTTTTTGTTTCTTTTGCTTATTCTATTTATATAGATTCGAGTTTATACGCTCATTATGTGTTCAAGGCGTTCGATGTAAATTGCAATGGCGCCATTAGTTTTCGGGTAATTACCGCCTCATTACAATGAGCTTTGCGCAATCTTTATTCATGAGTATTTCTGTTCTTATTCATTGATGATGGTTATTAGGATTTACTGGTCACCTTGTCGACACTGCTGCGTGGCTCTGTCTACGAGCGCCTCCGCTGGACATTCAAGCTCTACGACCTGAATGGCGATGGGCGGATCAGTCGCGGCGAGCTGAGCGAAATTATCTTGGCCATTCACGAGCTTATGGGCAGAAGACCACACCAGCCTGAGGACGATCGCAAAGCGAGGGATCAGGTGAGAATTAAATCTATTAAAATGGCTGTGGAGGAATACCAATTGAATGATATCTTAAAATATATTCATTTTCGATTGAAGGATTTATCAAAAGATTAATCATCTTAGTGGCAAAAATATTTAAAGTTTGGCCATAATTTTCAGATATTTTCATATGCATATTGATAATGATAGAACTACCAAAACTAAAGAGCAAATAAATCCATGGGACTCCACCAACGAAAATCCTGTTATAAAGGAATCCAATCCTCGTTTGCCTAGATCTCGGCATACAATTCTATTTGCATTTCGCAATCAGTGATAAGCTTTGGCCATGCCACACAAAGAGCTTCATTAAAATGCCGAGAGATGCAAGGCAAAATCCTTCCTTGTTTATCTAGACAGAGGGGCGGCAGGGGGCAGCAATCTGTCTCTGTCACTCCTACTGTCTCTCTATCTCTTTTTCTGCATATTCTTCTATCTCTGTCGCTGTGGCACACAGTTTTGTGCGCTTCATTTTTTATGCAAGAGCCATCGCAATTGATATAACATGCAGCATCCGCTGACGTTGGTCGCGGGCTCACAGTGCGTATGAGTAATTATAATTGTGAAAACAGTGGGGGAAATTGCACCAGAGGGGTATTGAAAATGCATTGACAGCTCAACCATACTCGTGTGCGGAAGAGGAAAGGCGAAAATCGGATACTTTTATGCGCGGAAACTGCGGCGGATATTTTACTTAATGACGCACATCGCACACTGCACGTTGCATGTCCTCCGCTCCTTATTGGTGATGATGAAAATCCCAATGAATAAAATCGGGAAAAAATTAAAATGAGGGATTAAATCGTAAATTGATTTCTGTTTGCCAAATGATTAAATCCACGCAAAGCGAAGAAAATAAAGGTAATTTGTATTTATTTTACTTAAAGGTGGATCGTGTGTTTCGCAAGCTGGACTTGAATCAGGATGGCATCATAACGATAGAGGAGTTCTTGGAGGCCTGCCTGAAGGACGATTTGGTAACGCGCTCGCTGCAGATGTTCGACATTGACCTTTGATGACAAGAGGACGAGCCCGTGTTGTTGACCACTTCAAAGACTATAGTATCGCTCATAGATCTATAAATGCATTCAACCAAAGCAAAGCAAAATCTCAAAACAACAAAAAAAAATTGAGAGGGGAAAGGAGGCCCCAAAAACAAACAAAAAAGACAAACATATACTACCTATGACAAAAACACCAGTGAAATTGATGGCAAAAGAGGAAATGAAACATATTAGTAATTAAAATTAGTTTAGGCCAAAATATCGAAAGAAGAAAAACTTTAAACTTTATGAGTGTGTTATTGTATAACTAGAAATGGCTAACAAAAAAAAAAAAAAAACGATGATAAAGAACAGATCAGAATATGAATATGAGGAAATATGTAATTTTTTGAGCATATTATGAATTTAATCCTGCCGTAAAAAGCGAATTGGTCTTATATGTATTTATAAACATATACATATGCGATATTTGAATGTGTAAATGGACTTTATTTCAAGAACATAAGCTAAACTAAAAACAAAAACTAAACCCCCAAACCGCAATGATTGATTCATGAATGGAATTGGTATTAGCGATAACAACCGAGAGTGACCGAGCTCTCAATACACGATTTACTTTACTCAATTAACAATATTCATACAACAACAAAACAAAAACAAAAACAAAAAACAGAAGAAATATTCTAATATTTACACTAAACTAAAGGATAATGCTAAAGAAATGTTTTTGTTTCCCTTTAACTTGGTTGCCGCCTAAATTTTGAACTCCCATTGGACCCGACAAAACCCTCCTCCTCTTTGCAGTCAATTAAATCTCCTGAATACAGAACATATGACAAAATGACAAATTGAATTCATTCAGCATGTGGAAAAATCTATTAAAATTCATTTTCCATTTACATAAATTGTACATTCCATTTTATGGCATCAACTAATTGAATTTGCAATGCGTAATTTAATATAAAGAAGACAAAAAAAAGTGTATACACGAGAATACACATGATGAATAATATAATGAATCAAGTATGTATGCCTGGGTCCTGTGTGTGCCCGACCAACCACCGATATATAAAAATAGCACTTGACAATTACAGTTTATTTAATATTTATACAAGGCCGTGCTGATTTTTTAATGTTAACTGCAATTCATACGACACGACTCTTCAATTATATTACATTTTCATTCAATTACCCATGCAATCACATACATACATATGTACGAATATATTTTTGTATGGGATCCTACGACTCCCCAACACCTGCACATTTTCCACATTTATTATTTCAACGCCCCATCAATCAGCGAGAAATGGGCGGCAGTGCCTTTGGCTCCTAGGGCAGCCACAATTGTTGCCCATTGCAGTGCAAAACAAAAGCATACAAAAGGAATGAAAGGATAGACAGGTTTTTACACTCAAACATTGAGTGCTTAATGGTACATGGTCAAGACAAGACAATCAATGTGGTTTGATATTTCCTATTTCCCCTTTTAGTTGTACGATTACACATCGTTCTTCCATTGTTGCTTCGAACAAAGAAAAACAAAAAACATAAATCTATATAAACTGTAGTGCACAGGGAAAAACGATAGTCACATCAAATCATTTCCAAAGGCTTTGGTCAGCTCACCGCAAATAAAAAACTGTTTGGAATTGAAAGAGTTATGCTATTATGAGGAATTTAAAGACATTTTTTTACTCGTTTTTATTGAAATGGTTTCAATCTAGGGCTGACATTTCAACCTATTTTCAAGTATTTTTTTTCGAATTTAGCTGTCCTTGATCCAAACTCGATCGTCACTTCATTTGAAATAAATAAAGGTTTCATTTATCTGTGTCCACAAACGTTCGTTTTACTTTCCAATAATTTTTATTTACATATATCAAAGTTCCATCCAACTTAAGTCAAGTATTCAATATAGATAAAATCTAGCATGAATGTAAGTTCTATTTTATATCAAACTGGGAGCCAACCACATTTAATCCCTATCCAAAATAAATCCAATCTAATTTCAATGTAGGCTTGAGCAAAACTTTTTTGAGTCTACTTCTTGGGGCATGCTAGCATTCCGCCATTAAATCATCGCCCCAGAATATGTATTTTTCCTTTCAGAAGGTTAAGCTATTTCATTTAGAGATACCTTCATCACAAAGAGATCAAACTATTCGGTTTTAGTAAAGAGCCTAACGGAAACATAAGCGACCTACCTACTGAATAAACCACCACACCCGCCCCGATGCTCTACCTAGTAAGAAAGGCGATCGATGCCATATTTAATGTATTATACACTGTCCAAAACTGAAACCGAAATGGCAAACGAAATTATATTAAACTATGATTCGTGTTGAAGGAACCTAAATGTCTAACTAGTCACATAATAATAATAATAATGAAATTGAAACGCTTAAACTTAATCTTAACCTAAATTAAACTCGAAAGTACTTTATTTAACTAATCGAATTGGATGTCAAAATATTACTGTTTTTAGCTGCTAAATGTTTAGTACGACTATGAATTAAAATATCCACTATGCTATGTGTCCAGATCGAAGTCTAATTGTTGTACGAGTAGCTAGATGGATGGGGTATTGAGATCAGATGAGGATGCCCCATAACCAGAAGCCCCAGACCCTGTGCTGTGGGCTGAGGCAATGTATTTTTAGCAAACATATTGTAACCACAATGACGATGATTACCTTTTAAACTACGTTTAATTCGCATTTAGTTGAGGCTAAATTTAATCAAAATGTACCTAGTAAATGTAAATTACGATAATAATTTTCCAGCTTAAGCGATTTGTAAATGAGCCCCAAAGAATGTTACGAGAGGGTTAATGTCCAAGCAGCCATCAAACCATCTCGTATGTAATTCCCTAAGTTATCTAAATATATAATTTACGAGTATGCTATCCCTATGAATAATAAATGGAACGAAATGAAACTTAACAAGAGCAAACGTGGTTAGTGATTTGGATTGTTTATAAGTAATTGATGAAAGGAGCAAGCCCCACAAAACTTTATTATAATAGCAATAACTACGATAATACTACGTCTAACATACATACATATGATATGATAAATCCATTTTATGTGTACAATTCATTCACCTAATTGTCTAAAGCTTGTCCCCAAGCTTCGTTCTACTTACCCACAACATTGTTAAATATTCCAGCCGACTAATCTACAAAATCGAATGAAACATATTTGCTGTCAACTTTAAAACAAAAGCAAATTTAATACTAAAGTCTCACTTTGCTTACAAAAACAAAACAAAATAAACAAAATAATAAATTAAAATTTGGTAAATGACAGAAAAAATACTAAATGGAATCTTCAGTTAAATGTTGTGTACTAAGGATAAACCTATTCGTGGTTACTTTTTAGTCAGCCTTACGGATGTCATTCACTAGGTTCTTGGACACTTCCAATCGAATTTCGTTTAAACTTAGTTCATAGCAGAGCAAAGCATAAATGGAAAATTTAAATAAAATAAAACTGTTCTTATGCCACTTATAATAATATTAAATAATACGAAAACTGAACAAAACAAATCTTGAATGATGCCCAAAAACAGAATGGGGTAAAACGATATAAAAAAAAAACAACAAAAACAAACATTTTAATAAAAATAACAATTTAATTATAAATGTGACTGAAGCAATTTCATTTTTGGGGTATCCAAGAGACAGAGCCACAATATTCTCAGCGTAGGCTAGCACTGAGACATGGAAGGATAGCTAACGAAATCTGGCAATAATATAGTACCTTATAAATTGGGCCTTTAGATTGTAGATAATTATAAAATTCTTAAAAAGTTTATTTTTATTTAAATCCCCAAGAGATTTAAAAAAACTCCAATTTATTTGTTTTAATAGATGTTTATTTATTTATCTCAAATATCCATAATGATTCCATATTATCTCTGGCTCTTGTTATTATTTTATAGATAAGTATTTAGTTTTACAAATATCTTTATCCTTCAAATTGAATACAAATCTTGAGCATCGTTTATATTGCTTTATTTCTGTCACTGACTTTTGCCTATTTGATGTCTTGCTGAATGTGCATTTTGTTTTATTTTGTGTATGTATTTATGTAAGTAGTTTCCATATGCTTTAAACAGGCAGAGTTTTTTTTGATTAGAATGAAAATGGTATTTCTGGGTATGTACTACATTTTGTTTTAATTTCAGATGCCTGATGATGTTTATAGTGCATTAAATATTTCGCTACAATCAATTTTAATTAATTATTTTCTTAGGTGACTTATATCCTAGATATTCCAATGGTTTGCTACAGTTCCAACACATGAATGAACTTTTGCCTCGATTGCCTTTATTTATGAAATATCTGATCTTAGCCTAAAACCTTTCTGATGATTTGATTTAACTCCGATGAAATTCCGCACATAAATACGTACTAAGAGATGTTCAATAAATAATTTACTTTAAGGTGTACATTTAAATACAATATAGATTTATTTACTTAAACTTGTTTTTGTTTTTTGCTTCATCTTCTTCCTTGTAAATTTAATATAATTTTGTCCTTGGATGGGTTCTTGTAGATTTGATTTATTTAAACGCTGTGAGGGGGTACAAAGTGTGACGCTCAGGCTACGCTTAACTAACAACAAAATTCACATACGTTTAACAACAATAAAATGAAAAATTGTACAAAAAATATATGTACGTACATTATTCAATTAGTTTACGGTGTATGGTAAAAATACAATGTAAATATATAGAGATTTTCGTTTCGATTTGTGTGTACTTTCCATTTAACATTTTGTGTGGTTGTGTTGCTCTCTTGATTTTTCCTCATACATACTATAAATAGTTGCACTTACACAATGATTCGTAAATAATAATGTTCATTTCGATGCAGGTAATATGGATTCGACAAAATTCGTTTCTAGTATGTGTGTGTTTCGGGTGGTTTCGAGAATGGCCAAAATTCAAAGTTTTATCGAAAGGTACAGTGCTCTTTTTAGCTTGCATTATAATGGTATTCCTGAAACTAATTTTGATTTGATTCAAGCATGAAGAAGAAAATAGTTGCAAGAGAAGGGAATATTCCAAAAGGGGTTAAAGTGGAAAAGTCAATCCAAAAATGAAATCAATATCGATCTCTTTCCAGATGACCTTCAAATTATTTAAATTTTTTATCAAATCAAAATCAGTATCTTTAATACCATTAATGAAGCAGATTTCCACAGAACAGCTCTTAGTGAACAGAATGGCCAACGTTTACTTAATATTTTCTAACATTTAGCTTTTGGCCAAATAAATTGGTTTTACGAAAACAAATACAATTTTGTAAATACATAAAATATTTGGCATTTAATTTCGTGAAGCTCAACGAATCGAATTTGGGGATTTTTATGTTTTTTTTAACAACATTTTGCACAAGATTAAAAAAAATGATTTGAATATTTATTTTGGGCTGGGTCTTTGGATAGCAATGCGTCTTTAACCAGAACAAAAATCTGTCAATCATTATCATTCTTGTGGAATGCCGTACGTTATGCAATATATACATACTACTACTACCATGTATATATAGATGTGTGTGTATGTATGTATGTAGATGTATATATGTACTTATATAATTTGGCTTTGCTTTAGCATAATAGCATACAAAAAATGGCCACCAATCAACTTAATAGGTAATCGAAAGTCTTATGGGAGAAACAAATTTTAAACCAAATTTGATTGCTTTTCATTTTGTTTGGATTTCATTTTTTTCTTTTTTTTTTTTGGCAATTAACATTATACTTTGTGCTTACGTTTGGTTCTATATATTTAATATATAGTATGTATGTATTGTATGTATCTATGAATTCGAAAACTTTCTCATTATGCTTAATATTATGGAGCCTGCTGCTTTATGCTTTTCGTATATTGTATAAAGTTTACTCTGTGTGTGTATGTGTGTCTTCTTGTTGTAGAAATATTTGGTTAGAAAAGTGTGTGTTTTTGTTTTGTTTTTGTTTGCATATCAAGATCTTATAAAGTGTATTTTGTTTATCTGCGTGACTTTGTATGTGTGTTTGTGCTTCAAATATCGTTTCGTCACAAACTCCAAAAAAGTGTCACTTCTCTCTACTCCTCAAATACAAATTCAAATTGCTCCGCTTATGCTGCACGCACTCTTGCTCTTCTTGTTGTTGTTAAAAGTACTACAAAATTGTGTTGTTGTTAAAGTATTGACCAGGGAACATCGGACATTATTCTCGTTTGCCTTCTAGTTTGCTGCTGAAATGCACACGTTTTTCCCCCCATTTCGCATTTGCATTCGCATTCGCTTGTCCGCTCTCAGTAATGCTTGCTATGCATCCGTTTCGATTTGGTTTGTTAGTACTTCTCATCGTCTGTGATTTCCCTATGGGAGTTCTGTAATTCTCAGGCCTTGTAGTGCTGATTCCTCACCGCACAGCACAGGCTCAGGGCAAAGGTCAGCGACAGCAGCTCCAGCAGTATGACGGCAGCAGTGATGGCGAAAATAGTGACCCAATTCTCGTAAATGATCTCAATCAGTTTATCAACGCAGCCCTGTAACAGAGAGTGCGATTCATTAATATATATGGTACATACATACAGTAAATATATCGAATTGTAAGTAAATATCAATCAGCATTCAGTTTGTTCACAGTTCGCATTCTCTGGCTCCACAAACATTTGAAATGCGTGTGGAATATCAATATTAATTAATACATTTTTATTGTCTCAGTGTCGGGCGTGGCGTGGCGATGAGAGAAAAACAAATCCACAATAACAGCAAAGGATTATTAATTTTGATGGGCTCTCAGACCATCGATAGCGTTCGCCAGTGCCAAGAAATCATGCTTCAGCCACACCTATCAATTGATTTTTGATGGTTTTTCGGTGGCTCAATGAATCGAAGAACGACCACAGACAACCAGACAACAGGCGACAGCCGACAGTTAAGGAAACAATTTGAATGTCAAATGAGATTGCCATAAGAATGGGCAATACTATAAATCTACTATGCCATGAATCATCCATTGAAACTTCTCCATTTATCCAGGCATTACCTGCTGATAGATGGCCGTATTCAAGGGGCCACCAAATTTCAAGCGACGCGACAATTCACACTCATTATCCTTGAGATTCTCCTTGCAGCAGGACTCGGGTATGTTGTAGAAGACATTCATGGAAGACACAGCAATTTCCACAATATTAGTGCGATCTACATTATTAAATCGACTCGTGGCCCAGTCCCCAGGTCCATCCGCACCGCAGCACTTCAACTGCAAAAAAACAAACAGAAAATAAATCAACTTCACTGTTCGCTTCAGATCTTTTACAAAATATGTGTACTCACATTCTTCTGCAGCGTATCAAAGGTAACCGTGCGTGAGCTCATGCTGGACTGGCCGTACTCCTCCTGCACCGAAGATTTCACCGCCGCCCGCACAATGTCGTCCAGCTTGTCTTTGTTGTGGAAGGCCCAGGCACCAGCTGCAATTTGTGCCACCATCACAATGAGTATCACACAGAAGAACTGCAACGGAAATTTCAAAATCAGATTTATGAATGGCTCTTTTTCCTCCGGCTGTGGGCGTTGAGTAAATAAACCCACTGGCGTCTGCACAAATATTTGGACTTGCCAGAGAATTTACTCGTTTTTGTTTTGTTCTCTGAACTCTTAATGTACTTTGTAAATGTTAGTTAATGGGCCATAAGTTAACCAAAACTGGCTCTACCAATATATCTTTTATTTCTCTTCGCTAATAATGTGTTCTTTTGAGCATCAGTTCTTAGGTTTTGCCAATTAAATAAAAACAAACCCAAATTGTTCAGAGCACGACATGTCGAAATACTTGTGTGGACGACTGTAAGGCGATCTAAGAAAGATATTCAACAAATTGCAGACTCCGCAAGAGGACCGTGGGCGCTCCAAGACTGCAATTATCTGAGCAGATTTCGGCGTGGGCCGGTCCGCACAACGGTATCCATTTTAATTGGAATTTGCAGGCAGACGCTATTTTTTATGGTTTTCTTTTGTTTGTTTACTTACCGATACCAGCAGACATTGCGACTCTCGACAAACGCCCCAGCAGCCAAAGAATGCGCCCAGTGTGATCAATATGCCGATGCCCAGGAAAACGTAGAGCGCTATATGATAATGATTATAGGATTGTGCCATTGACAGCATGAATGTGGGATCCGTCAGCATCCATACGGATGTGATTACGATGCTCAGTCCGATGAGCTGCAATAGAAATGAATAAAGGGAAATATTTTATATATTTATCAATATTTTGCAATCTTCTGTGTGGCTCGGTTGTAAAAGTTGCATTGTACACACTCGAAACACGCTTCCATGACGCCATCTGGGAGGCGTTGAAGGCAATTAAAGTGGGAGGCCCGACAGGCCTCTAATTCTACTCACTCATGCCCCTCCAACTTTGGTCGCGTTACTTATGATGTCAGCAGTGAGAGTGGAGAGGAAAATATTTTCTATTTGTTTCATTTTTAATTCAATTAAATTAAGGGATATATTTGTACGCAATAAGTACGAAATTCTAAAAATGGGATAAATACTACGAATTCTCTGATTAACTCGAGTGGCTACTGTAGCTTGAATTATGTATAGTATATGCACCAAGTGAACTGATTGTGAATCCGAGACGCTAAACTTATCTTCGTTTTGTTGTTGGGGGTTATCATAGGTCTACTCATACCCCAACGACTCCGAGAAAACAAATGAAACGCGAATTATATATGTTTGGATTAAAGCAATTGCAAGAAATTCTCTTATTAACTTCCCCTTAGGAATTTGTATAAAAGCAATTGAATCACTTAACCCGAGGAATACGAGTATGCAATCTGGACAGAGAATTTTTTATTTAAATTTGAATTTTCAGATCGTGTCATGAGTGAGAAAATCTAATTAAGAGCTAATGACTTAATAGCCGAGACATCCTATGTAGTGTGTGTGTGTGTGTGTGTGTGCTCGCTTCGTTCTGTTCATGAATTATTCAGAAAAATTATTCATAGTGGGGCAGGGAAATGTGTATTGAGTGTGCGATAAAAACGCTAATGGAAAGATGTAAACAAGTGCACTTATTATAAGGGAAATACAATCATTCGAGCTATACAAATATTCGAAGGTTCCAACTACAGAAACTTTGATTCATAATTTTAGCAACAAAACAAAAATGAGAATAAACTCTTGAAGACATTTCCAAATTCAAACATCTTCTTATCTCGTATCTTTCGCAATTGAACCAATATCTGGAGCATGGCCTACAATCTGTGCTACTTGATAAGATTACGCAGCCGATCTCGCAATAAACTGCGGAAGAGCAGTCTTCAAACGATAGATAGTAAAGTTTATCCTTTATTGCCTTAATTATATGGGCGGTAGTGTACGAGAACACATAGCAAAAACGAAAAGTACCGCAAATTTCATTCAAACGTAATGTAATGAGAGAGAGCCAAATCCAAGCTCTCCATGCGGGTGGTCCATGAGAAGACAAAAACAAAAGTGCAGCGTCGAGAGAACCTACAATATTGCGAGGGCGATTGAGAGAGCGAGACAAAAACTGTGTCACACTAAAATGCATTATATGAAAGAGTGAGAGATGGCCCTGTGTGTGTATGTGTGTGTGTGCAAGCTAACGGAGCATGTTGGATGATGGAAATGTTATACAAAGTTGCACATGCGAGGGCCGTTTTCAGAGTATGTAATATAAAAAGCAAGCTTAGATACGTTTATGTTCCCCCAGAGTACAAAATGGAATGCTTTACTAAGTCAACAGCCCCTCGTAAAAATGCTAAAAATGTTACGAGAATTGAATCCACGCCTTGGCAAATACACATACACATATCAGACACGATGTCGCGTGTCCACAACAAACAAACCGAACGAGGCGGACTAATAAATGTGCAAAGTCCTTTGGTGACCTACTTTTGAGTGCTCAAGAGAGCGTGAGAACGACCGAAGGGAGACAGTGAGAGAATGTGGCCAGGGCAAAGAGAAAAGAGAGCGATGCCGTTGCCGCTGCCGCTGCCGCTGCCTTTTGCATGTCCAGTCGCCGTTTTGTCCCCCACGCATTCCCCATTGATTTAACCATGCCATGCAACAGCAATTTTGGCCCGAAAGTACAATGGAATGCATTGCGGCCAAATGAAACCCCATTATGAATAATTGAGTGAAAAATAGCAGAAATTAATTATATAGTATCCATAGGTTGAAAAATAGAGATGGCAACTAAATTTATTTTGTGCCGGTGGGTGGACGGATGGACGGTCTCCCGAGTTAATGAGACGCAAGCCTTGTCAGATGGCCAAAAGACAAACAGCAGGCAGGCAAAGGCAACATTTTGGTCACTGTCAGCCTCAATGACGGCAGCGTCGGCATCATTGGAACGTCAGCGTCCCCGAGATCGTGGCGTTTGATCACGATGCCCCGCAGCGACTATGGAAATGGAAACGAGTCACAGTGGGATGTGCAAATATAAAAAGGATGAGAGATGACGCATGAACTTTTCCATGCACAACGAGATGAATCTTTGAGAAATATTGAAAAAACGATGTACTGTGTTAAATAAGTAAAAGTCAGACAGAATATTTCTTTCGGCTTTCATATAATATCCCCCATGAAAATAAAACGCGCACCACTATGCAATAGCGGGATAGGCTCTGCCAACAGCGCTGCTACTACCAATACCAACACACAGTTCCCGACCAAGACGGAACGGACGCACATGTTATTGTTGGTTTTCCGCCGTTTTCGAAAATAGCTCTTGACTAATAAATACTATAGACAGAAATCGAAAAAAGGCAACAACCATCAACACAAAAAACAAAATAAAAATTTAAAAACATTTAACAAAAGCATCAAAATTTCAAAATCGAAACCGATTTCGACAGGAAAGAAAGGAAGGAGAATCTACAGAGGAAAACAAACCAAACCACACACTCATATGTATGTACATGCGAGGGAGAGAATAATTGAATGAAAAACAATTGAAACAGAAACAACGAAATGTTGAAAGCTAAGAAATTGCGTAAAATTACAAACAAACAAAACGCGGAAAACGAGTGAAGGAGAGGCAAAGGCCGTGGGTGGTGTGACGAAAGGGTGGGCGGGGCGACCAATGTAGGTCCTTTCCCACTGATAAAAGAGAGAAAGAAGTTGGTAAAGAATTTAACTCAACAAAAAACTCACGTAAACGTTATAAAAATACTAGAAAAAAAAGAAAAGAATGAGAAGCACCAGCAGGAAAAGGCAGTCCAAAGAAAAACAACAACTGAACAAACTTGTGGTGTGGGGCTCGGGCAAGGGAGCCGCGCTGGAGAAGGTGGAAGGTGGAGATGGGGCGATGCTTTAGATGTCTGTCTTTCTGTCGAACTTTCTGTCTGTATGAGTGGGTGTGCGTGCATGTCATTCGCTCTCCCACTCACCCACAGCGGAACTTCTATTGTTTATGGGTGTAGGGAGCAGAGGAAGAGAGAGAATTCAGTGAGAACCCGGGAGCAGAGATAATGCTCTAGCTTTTTTTTTAAGTTAGAGCGTCTTTATAAGCACAATTCAATTCAAAATCCTGTTTACACATTCTACAAAATTTAGTTTTTTCCATTTCTGATGTTTGGCAAAATTTTAAACGGAAGCAGGGACTTAAAGTATCGCAGATGTCGCTTTGACTTTTATGCAGACAGATTTAGCTTCAAGTTTTTGTTATATTTATTTTCAGCTGAATAAGCACAATTTATGATTTCACATACGAATTAATTTAAATATTTCCTAACAGATGTTTTTTTTTTAATTTATTGTATTTCTAAATATATGTATAATAATTTTGCCATTTCCATTTTCCCATTTATTTATTTCCTATTAAAAACTGATTGCTATTATTTTATCTTTTTTTAGCATTGTTTAATCCATCTAGTTGTCGGGTTCCTGTAGGAGGAGAAGCAGAGAGCGTGCGCGCGCTGCCAGGCGGAGACTTGGCCCCACAAGAGGGCGTAGGGAATACACAAACAAATACACACACGCACGTCCATTCACATTCACGCTCTCATGTACACAAAATTCACTCTTCCACACACACACTCTCTCCAGCACTGCCGTTGCATATGTGTGTGTGTGTTTGTTCCAGTTGTTGTTGCTGCATTGGGAAGAAGATTCTTCTCCCATTTGCTGTTGTCGCGTTTACATACCCAAAATAAAATGTTTATAAGGACCATCAGATATTTGACGCACGAACAGCAGCCTTTGAGACCCATTGTGTCGATTAGTTAGCTATAGCTCTTTCCTCGCTTGAAATTCGTTAGATTTAACTGGTTTCTATCACCCCACCACCGCTCGTTGCGTTGGCTTCCTTCTGCTACGAACACGATTTGGTCGAAAGAAAATTGGAATTGACTCTGGGCCTGCAACAGCGACCGCGCCACCAGCAGCCTTAATGCACTTTTCACTTTTCTCCTGTATGGATGCTTGCACAATATTTGAAACACTCGATTGGCGGGCTCTATTTTTATAGATTTTTCAGCGGAACAACACTTTTATGCTCGAAACACCAATTGTGCATTTAACCGTTGCAACCGAATTATTTAAAAATTGTATTTCTGCGGCTGCGGCGGTACGGGCCGTGTTTTTTTGTTGATTATTTTTACTAGGGATGGAATGGGTATCGATATGGCAATGTCGATATTGTATCGATACTCAACAGCGATATTGTATCGATACTCAAATGCGATATTTGACGAAATCATAGAACTTTCTAAGGATATTAAAAATTGTCACAATTACTTTTGAGTTAATTTTTTTTGTCGTAGTCGGTGAAAACAGAGAATAAAGGATCTCAGTCGAAAGAGAGCACTCAAAACGCTTTCCGACTCGCTTTTGCGTTTTTTTATTTAATTCCGTACATACATGTACGTTTTTACATACAAATGTAGTTACCGTGTATTTACCATGTACAACATTTTTGTTGTCTCGTTTAATTTAAACAATATTTTATAAACAATCCAATAAAAGAGAGTACTTTAAATTAACCAATCTTGTAAAAAATTAACTAGTAAATGAAAATAAATTATGTGTTCTGTGCTGAGGATCCTAGATAGCTAGTAATATGAAACCGTGTTCGTCAGTATATTTACGGTATATTATTAAAAAGGAAGGGTATATTTCGGTATAGTAGTATAACTATATATTTTTAATCAAGTTCCAATTTATTTTTAAAGATATGAAGCTATTTTTCAAACTGACCGCCAAACCCCATTTAGCGCACAAAAAATACCGACATTTTTCGCTCTCAAATCGTGGTGGTTTTTCAACGTTAGTCAACATTTACGTTTTATTCTTTGGCCGTTTTTGTTTGAACCTTTTTATGGAAATAATGCAATAAAAATGACTTCTGAAAACTAGCTAATCTTGTAGAAAATTGATGTATCTATCGGATAAAATCATTTGTTTAGGGCTGAGAGGGCCAACTAGCTGTTAACATTAAGCCGAATATCAAAATCATGGAATACGAATTCAATCAATAAAATATAACGTTATCCCATTGTCGACCAGGGGGGTATTTAATATTTCCAAGAAATTTATGTAACTTTAAAATATTTTAAACTTTACAGGTGAAACAGGTCGGTGGTTATTTTTGTTTTTTAAATAACGAGGAGGATGGAGCTACGAGGAGCCTTTACAAACAGTATTATTTTCCGCGGTGTAACAATGGGTGGTCTACTTTTTAAATAGAGTGGTGTTAATAAAGTCTCGTTTAATCGCCGGATTTGGTATGGTATTTAAATGGTATTTCTTGAAACTGATATGGAATTTTTTATCGTTATCGTCTTTTGTATTTTGTACAATTCGCTTAAACCTTATTTTATAAGTAAATTCAATAAATGGGAGTCATTAAAATAGTCCATATATCAGAAAATTGATTCACCTATCTGATAAAATGATATGTTCAGTCGTTTTAGTCCTAACTAGTTAGGTATATTAAGCCGAATATCAAAATCGAGGAATATCAACGCTCCGGTCAGTATATTTACGGTATATTTTGATTATGAAAAGGTATATTTCGGAAGGTCTGACCGTATATCTTATCGATAAAGCCGATAAATCAGCTGAACGTAAAATGGCAACAAGCACAACAAAAATAAAAAGAAAAAACGCAAGTGCAAGTGTTAAATGGGCTGTCTAAGTTGAAATAGAATTTAATATTTAAAAGACTGTGAAAATGCGCATTGAACGTGTCTTTCGAGCACAACGGCCCACCGATAAAATGTAGAAGTGGCTTCTTTGGTGTTCTTTTCTCGCAGAAAGAAAATCGGTGCAAAGGAAAAAACAAAAATACATTCAAACACACGAATGTTAATGTAAAGGCAAAGTAAGCAAGGAGACGAGACCGAGAAACTCCCCCACCCCCTGATGAGTGTGACGACTGCAATGGGTTTTTCTTTCTTAAATTTTTTCCTGTAATTAAACACAAAGTGTACCCCACTCCCCCCTCACTAAGCTGAATCGCCTTATTTTTGTTGTTATTCGTGAGTGCATATGTGTGTGTCTTGTAATTTAGTTACGCAGTGGAGCGCGGAGTAGGGGGAAGTGGAATGAAGTGGAGTGTAACCAAACACGATACGGTGGAAAAAAAAACCTTAAAGCGCAGGCTAAAAGTTTCTCAAGCGCTGCAATCCAGTCTTGGCCCCCAACCACCCATCCCCTCCGCCTTACATTGGACCCCCCTCTAACAGTGCTTTGCATAGGTTTACGCACTTGTTTTTTTGCTACAACTATTTGGCATGGTCCACTCACCTCTCTTCCCCCCCTTCTACTTGGCGCCACTGCGTCTATGTCTTTTGCAATTTCACTTTCACATTCGTTGTGGGCCGTTACAACAACAACCGATTGCTTTGTAGTACTTCTTTTTTTGTGGGTTGTTGTTTCCTCCTCGTACCACTCCTACACACCTCCCTCTCCTCGGGCTATGGGGCGTTTCGAATTAGAAAGTGTTTATGTGTGTGTGTGAGCGGCATTTTCTCAATGATATTTTAGAGTGTGCGAGTGTGAGTGAATGGTTAATGGTTAATGTTTTGTAACCGCTTTTAAGCTGTGAAAATGCTTTGCAGCAGGCCCCCCACATCTCCGCTATATATTGTCACATGATTTAATTCTAATTAGTGCTCGTTAACAGTCCACCCCCGCTGTCCGCCCCTGGCAACTGCAATCAGCATGTGTGGGAAATTTAAATTGTTGCATCCAGAGAGAGAGAAACAGACAGACAGAATGAGACAAAAGGGGGACATCGCTCTTTTGCATACAATCACACAGATACAAATGTATATTTCAATCATTTGCATTTCACACACACACACACACAACACACAATCATACATACGTTGAGAGACAACATAAATTAGTGCAAGCAACGGCACTTGGCAACATGCAAAAGTAACAGCAGCTTTAACAGTGGTCTGTAAACTATGAAGTGGCAGCAGTTAACAGGGCGCAAAGAGCGTCTTAACATTGGACAAGAATGGCATGATGTGACGATTTGATACCCTGCAAGTCGATAGTTACTAAAGTTAATATATATAAAATCTTGGCTAATTTTTTGGTTTAATAGCATTGGCGGTTTCTGATCGTTTCTTCGGCAGTTAAACTATACAATTATTCATTATTTGATATTTTGAAGCTGATAAAGAACCAATATACTCTGTGTTTTCGCTCTGCGCGGGTATAAGAACATTTGTATGTAAGCCAACAGATAATTAACAGCGCCTTAACAGTGGACAAGTGCATCAACCTACAGCAATTATATGTGTGTGCGTGTGTGTGCATGGCTGTGTGTGAACAATTGTATAGAATTTGTTGCAATAACAATAGAAAACAACAACAAGCATAAAAGAAACTAGGTAACACTCTTATAATTTATTCCAACAACGTTTTAATGGCCTTCTTTCTGGGCTGTTAATGGTTGTGGTTGTTGTTGCAAGTTCCATGTGGACGGATTGTTATTTTTTCACACCGGTTCAACAGTTGCGGTTGCCCCTACTGGAACACTTCCCCCACCCCAGGGAAAGCACCATTACTAGACTGGTTGTAAATGGGGTTGGGGTGGGAATATGGAGAAATAAAAGTGCTATATATAGAAACGAGTATTATAAATGTTTGCTTACTTATAGGGATTATATGAGGAGCCACTTCCATGAGAGCCACAACTCATGTCTCGTTCAAATTTAATCACTGAAAATCATAGAACATAAAATCGTTAAACATTTTACTATTGATAGCATTTGAAGAAAACAAATTTAGAGAAATAAAGCATAAAATAATGAATATTTTTGCGGAGAATGCACAAATAAAGAAACGACAAATAGGTCAAAATTTTATATTGTTTATAACCTAGACCCCAACTATTATTTATTTATCTGTAAAGCACTTCTTAATGCACATCCCACCCCCTACAAAACCTTTGAGCAAATTCTAAGTAACTTTTCCCCTTCCTTACTTCCTTAAGGCCCTGCAAGTTGAGAAAAAACTGTGCTATCCATAAGTTTGTAAATATGAGGAGCAAATGTTGTTGTTTTGTTTATGGAACGTTTATTAACCGATTCTCCAAATAGAAGAAGTCTCTAATGCAATAAAATAAACTTGTTTATCGACTGTTAAACGGGAAATAGCCGTCAAAAGTGTTCTACTTTAATTTGAGGGCTGCGCGAAAGTTAACCTTAGAGTTTCTGTGCCTGACCTTAGTCATAACCAAGTAAATTATACATGTACATTTAGGTATATGGGTCTGTGGGACTGTGCGGCTGTTTGTGCTGTGAAAAAACCATAACCGCAGCTGCAGCTGTCCAAAGACAAGCGACAGATAGCGCCGCACAACATGCGGGGAGGGGGGCATGGCAGAGCGATAAGGCCCCATATAAACAAAACTTATCGCTGAATCAATAAACCAAAACAAATTTCACTTTTATTTCGTGTTTAGATTTCAAGCAGCAGCAGCGGGAAGCGGGAAAAGAGGACACACCACGCCACGCCACGCCAAGCGATAAAGATAAGCTCTCAGGGGGTACCCCCAGATAACCCCACTGAAACGGATATCTACTGACGCCTCTGATAAGGAACAGCTATCGGCGGTGACTGTCCGGAGGAGCTACTAACCGCCGGAACCAGGTAGAGCACTCGGCTCGGCTCAGCCGCCGAGCTTATCAGCGATCCCAGGGGGGTAGCATGTCGCACGGCAGCGCCGGCGGCAGTGGCGGCAGTCTGGGCGCGCAAACTGTGGGTGCCGGCAGCATTGGTGGCGGTGCAGCGGCAGCGGCGGCGGCAGCAGCAGCAGCAGCAGCGGCAGCGGGCGGCGGCAACGGCGAGTACCGTGAACTCCACTGGACAGTGTCGAGCGTGATGGACTCGTCGCGCGTCTCCACCTGCCTCATCTCGATGCTGCTCATTGTGTACGGCAGCTTCCGGAGTCTCAACATCGAACAGGAGGCACGCGAGCGGGAGCAAAAGAAGCGCAATGAGTCCATGACGAATCTCCTCACCGGGGAGCAGGTCGAAAAGGAGCCAAGTGAGTGTCGCCATTCTGTAATATTGCCACCATAACCTCGCTAATGGCTAAAGGCTCTTTGTGCTTCTTTACAGCGGATAAATTCGCCACACTAGACACGATGCATGCTCTGTGCCTGCCACTGGGCGCCTCCATATCGCTGCTCATCATGTTCTTCTTTTTCGACTCGATGCAGCTGCTCTTTGCCGTGTGCACAGCCAGTGAGTATCAATGGGAGTCTCCATGGGTCCCCCTACCCCTGCATCGTTCCATCAAACACTAAACTAACTTTCTGTCGCGCTCTCCTCCTTGCAGTCATTGCCACTGTGGCGCTGGCCTTTCTGCTGCTGCCCATGTGCCAGTACATTATGCGACCCTGCACGGACGGCAAACGTTTCTCCTTTGGCGTTTGTGGACGCTTCACGGGGGCAGAGCTCTTTAGCTTTATGCTGTCCGTGTCGATTGTGTGCGTTTGGGTGCTAACCGGCCACTGGCTGCTGATGGATGGTAAGCTGATCCATCTTACCCATAGACAAAAGCATTCGATAATTGTGTGTGTGTGTTTGATTTCTTACCAGCAATGGGCATGGGTCTGTGTGTGGCCTTTATAGCGTTCGTGCGTTTGCCCAGTTTGAAGGTGTCGACGCTGCTGTTGACCGGCCTGCTCATCTACGACGTCTTCTGGGTATTCCTCTCCTCGTACATATTCAGCACGAACGTGATGGTGAAGGTGGCCACGCGACCCGCCGAGAATCCCGTGGGTATAGTGGCGCGCAAATTGAATTTGGGCGGCCTTGTGCGGGACACACCGAAACTGAATTTGCCGGGCAAACTGGTTTTCCCCAGCATACACAATACGGGCCACTTTTCGATGCTCGGCCTGGGCGATGTGGTGATGCCGGGCCTGCTACTCTGCTTTGTGCTGCGCTATGATGCGTACAAAAAGTCACAGGGCGTCACATCGGATCCCACACTATCAACGCCAAGGGGCGTGGGCTCTAGGCTAACATATTTTCATTGTTCCTTACTGGGGTAAGTCCTGCAGTTGCTTTAGCGCTTTCTATATATATACTTATTTATTGTTGCATTTTTTTTTTGCAGCTATTTTTTGGGTCTGCTAACGGCCACGGTCAGCTCGGAGGTGTTTAAAGCTGCACAGCCGGCGCTGCTGTATTTGGTGCCCTTTACGTTATTGCCACTACTGCTGATGGCCTATCTAAAGGTAACAAATATTATATGCACTACGAATACTGAATGCTGTAATGCTTCCGTTTTTTTTTTGTTGTTGTTAGGGCGATCTGCGGCGCATGTGGAGCGAGCCGTTTATTACGCACCCACCATCAAAACAACTGGAAGTCTGAGTGTGTGTACTCTATTATCTACATATAACAAGCAACAAGAACAACAACCACAACAACAAAAGTAACATCAAACACACACACACAAAACACTCACACACACACACACAAAACACACACCCATAAGAAGATCTATTACTAAACAAATTTGTCTCTTAAATAACGTATTGAGTATGTATGTATTTTTTAATTCTACTCAACTAAGTTTCGTTTTAAGTTAGGTGATACTCGTTTTTCATAGTGAAATAAAACGCTAACAAAATCGAGTAATTTTAGTTTCTAGCATTTAAGTATGGGCAGTAAAAACTCTTATAGCATCCCGCATTCATTTCAATTGGCTTTAATGTCTCACCCAGCCCATGCAGATAAATACGAGTAGCAAATAGAGTCCAGCCCACAGTTCATAGGGCTAACATACACACACATAATCTATCATTACCCACTGCATACTATAGCAAGAGATAGCGAGAGACTAGCAAGGAAACTGTTGGAGATTCGTGTTCTTAAGGGAGTTCTCTCCTGCGGGGAGAAATTCAGAATCAGTATGGCCGTTCTGTAAATACTTAAGTTAACAAAACAAACAAACAAAATACATACATATATATGATAAATGATAAATTCTGGAGATAAACAAACCACCATGCAACAAATAATAGTTAGTAAGTTCGCCTTCACACACACTCACACACAACACACACACACACACATTTTATACCCCCGTTTTATGTTATCTCAAAATCACCCACATTTCCGTCCCCTCACAAAACCATCTAAAGAATTTTTGCCAAAATGCATGTGTTCGTTTTAAACAATAAAAGGAAAAGAATAGCAAGAGAAAATCAGAAATTTAGCGTAAAAGATTTGCACCTGCGGTGTGTGTTTCACAAATTAAGTTTCACGAATTTTAATTGTTTGTAATTAGAGCAGCTAAAAAACAAAAACAAAACAAAAAAAAACAACAATAATAACGATTAATTGTAATTGTATGCATATGGAAGCGATAGTTACATACTAATTTTAAGTAAATGCAATTTCGAAACGTATAGAAACAATAAAATGTGAGATTTAAACAAAACCAAAAACCAGCTAACCTTATTTGTGCACTACGCTTATTTCTACAGAAATTTTTACGTTAAAAATTAGTAACTTCAACTATAAACGATTATTCTATTTTCTTTTTTTTTTATGATAAGACAAACGAAACAAACTGCCGCAATATTTGAATTCAGATACAGTTTTAGAAGGACTGCCGCTACTCAGAGTGCGGTCACACCGACTTATCGTTATCGACTATAGTTTTTCATCGGTATATTTCATTGGTATTTTTGGGCTCATACCTGCAACACAAAAATGAGTCGCGAGAGCGACAAAAAATACCGCGGTGGGGTATAAATGGGTTAAGTCTCGTTGGATCGCCGGATTGCCCTGGTTTTTCTGCCCTGGCTGCTATGCCCGGGAAATCCCACACTAGATAAAATAAAAAATATGTTTTCTAATAATCCGAACTATATTTTGTATTTATTTAAATAGATAAAACACTTGAAATTAATGTTTCAAATGTATGGTATTTAAGTGGTATTTCTCGAAACTGAAATCGTATTTAATGGTATTTATTTGTTGGCAGAAAATACAGAAAAAATCGAAAACCGTATTTACGACGTAAATTGTTATTGATTATTATTAATTTATTAATACAATTTAAATAAAATAAATAGTGTAATTGGTATGTGTGTTTTGCTGCGTGTATTTGAATGAAACGAAGGCGAGCCCACGCGAGATATTTGGCAGAAGCATAACGCTTGTCGTAGGCGTGGAAATTCCTGTGGGAAATTTTTTCTTCTCGCGCGTTTGTGTAGGTGTGTGCGGTGTGTGTGTGGCGATATTGTTGTCGTTTTTTGTTTTTAATTCCGGAGAAGCATTTAATGCGCGTTACCAACGGGAATAAGCATATATATATGTACACTATACTATATACATAATACATATACTATGTAGGTGCATGCGTGTGGTGCTTTATCAGTGTGAATGCGCGGGGTCCGCCTTTATGTCTGCGTAATTTCCGACAGTGACACCTGGCCAGTGCGTGGGAGGACTTTTCATGCTAATGCGTAAAACATCTTTGTGTCCTTCTTTGTAGCTTGTGGCAGCCCCCTTCTTCTTGAACGCACTTCAGCTGGGTAATCCGTGCAGCAAACTGAATCACAACCGGCAGAGACAGAGGCAGCAGTCGCTGGGTGGCCATATGGGTGGCAACAGTGCTGGTGCGTCGAATGCCAGCGCCTTTAGCGCTGGCGGCTATATCGGCCCCACCAGCGCCAGTAGCCAACACAGCCTGGGGGCGGCGGGGGGCAGTGATCTGATACCCGGGCCGATTGGCACTGGCGCCGCCTTGAGCGTGACCTCGTACGCCTATGGTGGCACCAGCTGGGAGGAATTCTGCGAGCGGCATGCCCGCGTGGCGGCCTCGGACTTTGCCAAGGCCTGCATCACGTACATCAACGGCAACCTGCCGCCCGAGGAGGCGCGCAACATACAGCATCGCAGCTTTTCACAGAAATTCGTAGAGTCCTTTGCGATCCACTATGACACAGAGTTCTTCAGGCGCCGCAGCACTCTGAAGATTGGAGCCGGTTCGTTGGACTTTGATGAGCACGAGCACGAGGTGCCGCGCCTGCTGTCCAAGTCGCTGCTGCGGCGGCTCTCCTTCAAGGGACTGCGCAAGGGCAAGGTGAGCAGGGCCGCCCAAAGGCGGTGCCCGTCTCGTAGATTGTTATCCATTTGGATTTTAACTTAAGTTCCCCCTCCTGCAGGCCTTCTTTCACAAGAACTCGGACGACGTGGACGGCAGCGGCAAGCAGAGCAAGACCAAGCTGGCCAAGATCGTGGTCGAGTGCCGCAAGGAGGGCTACGTGAATAACCTGACCCCCGAGAGCCTCGACCAGCCGACAGGCTCCCAAAAGTGGGAGAAGTGCCGCCTGGCCTTGGTCAAGGCCGTCGGCGGCTACATGCTGGAGTTTTACACGCCGCCAAAGTCTGCCAAGCCACGCAGCGGTGTCTTCTGTTTCCTAATCTCGGAGGCACGCGAGACCACAGCCTTGGAGATGCCCGACCGCCTCAACACGTTCGTTCTGAAGGCGGACAACAACATGGAGTATGTGATCGAGGCGGAGAGCGCCGAGGAGATGCGCAGCTGGCTGGCCACCATTCGCTACTGCATGCGTACACCGCCCACACAGCAGCCCCTCATCGAATCGGACGTTATAGCGGCGGCCATGCAGACATCGCCGACAAATCCTTCGGGCAGCAGTGCCTTGGGTGGCATACAGAATCCCCAGTACCAGCAGCAGGGCGGCCTCGGTGGCTCCAATGGCAATCTAGTGGCCGGCGGCGGAGGAGTCGTTCTGTCCTCTTCGCTGTCGGCGGACAGCGCATTGGCCTCTGCTGCCATTGGCCATGGAGCCACATCCGCGAGCGACATAAATGCCATCAATGAGCTGGGCACGACACCGCCGTCGGGACCGCCGGAAATACCCATGCGACCGCATCGCGGCGAGCAGCGTCTATCGGCCTCCAGCAATTTCGATGGCGTCGAGCTGACCGAGAACGATGCGGACGTGAATGTGGCCGATCTAACGGCAGAGATGAGCCTCTTTCCCTGGTTCCATGGCACGTTGACCAGGTCGGAGGCGGCACGCATGGTTCTACAGTCGGAGGCTGCCGGACATGGCTACTTTCTGGTGCGGCAGAGCGAGACGCGGCGCGGCGAATTCGTGCTGACCTTCAATTTCCAGGGCAGGGCCAAGCACCTGCGGCTGACCATCTCGGAGAAGGGCCAGTGTCGGGTGCAGCATTTGTGGTTCCCTTCGATACAGGAGATGCTCGAACACTTTCGCCATAATCCCATTCCCCTTGAATCGGGCGGCACCTCTGACGTGGTCCTCACTGATTGGGTGCACAATACCAGCAGACTGAATGATCACTCAGCTTCGATGGCGGCAGGCGGCGGAGGTGGAGGAGGAGGAGGAGCGCACGAGGCGCACGGCCAGCAGCATCATGATCCATCAGCGGCAGGCGGTGGGCCAACCAATGGAAATGGAAACGGGCATGGTCATGGCACAGCAGGAGGAGGAGCAGCTGGCGGGGGCCATCCGTCGCCGAGACATGTGAGATAGCCAAAATTTTGGAGTCAATTCAGTGTCAGTGATGGTTTTATTTTATTTTACTTTGATTTCTGTTCGATTTCTTATCATTTTCATTGCAAAAGATGGGAGGGATGTGGCTTGAGCTCTGACCCCTGCGGGGGTACTAGGGAAATACGTTGAACCACGACATTATGTTCTATGTAGGCATATAGAAGTAGTTCGAAAAGTTTAACACTTTCCTAATATTTAAAAAAAAATGCCATAAAAATGATATTCTAGGATAAAGGGAATCACTCTTTTTATGGATTTTTTTTAGAAATCTTACAAATTGGCAATTGGAAACCATAACAAAAATTTATTTAAAATTTAAAAATTTATCTGAGACGTATTTCAGAAATATTTTCGATTTAAGCGTAAAGGAACTCTTGAGTCTGAGGTCTGATTAGAGGGAGTCTGTGCTCCAATATTTGTCTGCAAAGTCTGATTTAAATTATTGCCATAATTGTTACAATTTCTTAAGCATTTTATTGTAGTTATGTTTTCAGTCAATTGCGATTCGAAAAGGTTTTGAATGTAGGATGAACAAAATAAAATAAATGTATGAGAAAAGATTTCGAAATTATTCACACAAATTGTGAGGATTAATTGATCATAATATCAGAATTAAACACTGTTAAGGGAATAGTTCTTAAACATTGAGGGATTTTCCATAGGTAACCCAGGAAAGCAAAAATTTAGAAAAAAATCTACTCTTTTTTGTATAATTTTGTCCATTTAATTTGTGACATTCTTTAGGGGATTCCTGCTTGGAATCCCTGGATCTTTAATGTATAGTTTTTAGTTAGTATTTCTGTGTTTAGTTTGAATGACTTTGATATGTTTGTCGCATGCTAAATGTCTCCCACCAACACCACCACCGCCTCTCAACCCCAACCCCAACACCGAAACCAACATCAAATCCTACCCTCAGTACCAACAGACCACTAATGAAGTTTCTGCCTTGCGTTATGTTCCCACAGTGCAACGAAGTGATTACCATGAATCTAAGTGTTCGCCTAAAGACAAACGAAATTGAACTGCCATTGGAGCAGCCAACACACGTCTATTTTCCGGAGCAAGCCTACTTTCCATTGGACCCCACAACGCTCACGGTGCACAGTTCGCCGCCAGCTGGGCAGGGTAGCTTTCTCGATCAGCCGCATCTGCGGGCATCCAACGCCTCACTGCAGGGCTCCGCTGCACACCATCAGCAGCAGCAGCAGCAACAGGCGGGACAGGGTGGCAATGCCAGCGGTAGCGGCGCCAGCGGCAGTGGGAACGAGGGCAGCGGACGCGCCGTCGATAATCAGTATAGCTTCACCTAAATCCCGAACGGATTAGATTGGATTGGATTTGGGGGGATACTTTGCGAAATTTATCATTGTGCCATTTGTCTTGAGGGGGGGAAATATTTGTGTTTTATTGCATTATAAATAGTACAAGAGATGTATTGTATTGTATTTGTATATCGTGTAGTCAGCTTTTCTTATTTCCGTCTGCGTGTTCCGTTTCCTTCTCTCTTTGCTTTCTTTACTTGTTTCTATTAAGTTTAGTAGTACATAGCTCCTTTGGAAGACATGAATTAACTGAATATTATTATGTATACAATATTATATTATAGCTAAATGTGTGTGTTCATTTTTAAGTACATCAATGTTGTATGTATAGAAAAAAAAACAAAACAAAACAAAAAGAAAACGGAAAATATTACAAACAAAATTTAAGATTTATGTGGCACCAAAGGTGCGACTCAAGCGAATCCTAAAACTTCCTGCTTTACAAAACAAAAACAAAATTACATACATATATATATAAATACTATACCTATAAATATAAATTATGTATACATATATATAAAAATATATATTATATATATTGAAATTGGTAAACTACAATAAAATAAATGAAGTTATGTAAAAGTCAAACTAATTTGATTAGTTTCGTTGCTATTTCAATTTTTAAATTATTCACTTGGCGCCTACAAATTAAAAGCCAATTTCCAGCACTTTTCGATTTTACTATCGATAGAATGATTAGCCCATTATTCGGTATTTACGAGAAAAAGTGCTAATACCATAGGTTTCAAAGAAGCTTGGATAACAGAAATTTAATATTAAATTAAAATTGGTTGACCAGCAACAATGATGTCACATTCCGGTACACACTTTCGTTTTGTGCTTTGGCCGTTTGGCCGATAATGACAAGGTATATTTCGGTATATATTTGACGAACAGAGGGTATATTTTGTCGACAAGTCGGCGGTCACACTGCTTGGTCGATCGGTCTATCGCCTGTCTCTCCTCTCTAGCCGGTAAATTTAGCAATTTTTTGCTTTAAACTCGGAGTTTCTGTTAAAAATGGAGCTTGAACTGGATGTGGTGGACTCCCTCCAGGCACTGGCTTACGATGGCAACTGCCTGCAGCAGGAGGCGCTGACCAAAGCGCTGGACAACGGCATCGACGACGAGGACTTGCGTGCGGTAATTTTCTGGCTGGCCCACGAATTGCATGTGCTGCGCAAGACGGACGAGCATGTGACCTCCAGCAAGAAGGACCACGACGAGTTTGCCATCGAGCTGTCGCTGCTGCTCACAGAGCTGAGCTGTCCCTACAGCCAGCTGGTGATGGGGCCCATTTCGGAGCGCTTTGAGAGCCGCGACGCACTGCTGCAGTTGCTGGACTATTTGACCTCGGAGCTGATGTTCACTAAGATTTCGCTGAAGGCGCAGCCCGTGGGACCGCCTTGCAAAAAGTCCAAGACTGAGTCCAATGTCGAGGCGACGGTATTGCAGCTGGTGAAGGATCTGCAGCTGGGCGAGTTGCCCAAGAACATCACCACCAAGGCCATGTTCGACAAGATTACACCCCGACTGGAGCAGCGCATGGGTCAGACCAATCGCGGGGTTATCAGCGAGCCCCTGCTCAACCAGAAGAAGCCGCTCAGCGATGTCCAGTGGCGAATGCTGGAGGCGCTGCACATTGATCTGGATAGCGAGTACAATCTTCGTCGCCAAATGATGCTCACGCGCCTGGAGGCGACCATTCAGAGTTTCCAGTGGTCGGAGAGCATGAGGAATCGCGAGAACGAGATAATGCAACTCTTCCAGCTCAAGCTCAAGGAACTGGAGCAGTTCAAGCTGGGTGGCAACGAAACCAACATTGTGGCTCTCTTGGCCGCCCGCGCCGACTTGGCCATCATCGAAAAGACAAGTTCCGCAAATGTTCGCAAGAATACTGCCTCGAAGATCCAAAAGCACATGATTGGCAGTGTCCCGGATCGCGGTGGGCGAGCCAATGAGCATGCGCCGCCTCCCCCAGAGATGCCCTCTTGGCAGCAGCAGCGGGCAGGCGGGCCCCAAGGTGGAGGCGGTGGCGGGGGCCGTGGAGGTGGAAACTTTCGAGGCGGTGGCCGTGGCGGTGGGCGCGGTGGTGGTCGAGGAGGAGCAGCTGGTGGCGACAATAATTGGCAACAGCAGCAGCCACATCAACAGCAGCATCGCGATCGCGATAACAGCCGCGATAGAGACCGAGATCAGCAATGGACTGGCGGCAGTGGACGCGTGCAGGGCTCTGGCTGGAATCCCCAGGGCGGACGCGGAGGAGGTGGTCGCGGCGGCGGTGGGCGTGGTCGTGGAGGAGGCGGCGGTGGCTATCAACAACGCGGTGGCTACCGATAAGCTTTACATCTGTATAAACCAATTCCATGAACTGATATTATAAGAGATCATCGATACGTATCTACCCTGCTCTCCGCCTGTTTTAACTAATTTCGCCGTCTGTGCGGATAACCCAGTTTTATTTATTGCTAATTTAAATGAATGTGTTTATAAATGGCTGAAATTTATAAAATAAACTATCTATGTCATCAAATGCCAGCAAATGTCGCGTGTCGGCTTCAGTTTTGTACCCGGTAATCAGACAGAATTTGGGTATATTTTATTTCTGTAAGCAGTTGGAGATATATTTTTAAATTCGTAAATTCGCGTATGTGCAAAAACAATTATTTGTCCTTTTAAACTCGCTATGGAATAGCTCTAAGAAAACAGCAGTATACGGAAATATCATTGCTGTGCTCATACTAAAGTTTGTCGCTGGATAATGTTCTTACGTTTGCAGCTCTAAGAATATAAGTCTTACGTTCCCTTAGCCTCAGCCCTTCATATTCGCAGTAGATGGTTCCACGGGGCTGTTTTATACCACGTTCAAAATAATCAAAGCCACGTGGAAGAATGTTGAACACTTTTATAATTTCAATGGCAATTAAATTCGTTTAATTTCATAACTATAATTATTATTTCGATAAAAGATTCCATTTGGAGTCTAAGGCTTTACAAGCGTCGCTGTGTGAGAAAGATTTTCAGATATGTCATGACCCTGGGAAGTCCAACTCGAGCGCTTGTTACGCGGCCCTGCTGCTCATCATATAATATAACTCAACGAGTATGTATAGAGGGTATCACATAGCTCCTACAGCAACTATAACCTATCTATTTTGTAAGATTTGGGTTAGGATTTCACTTTCAATAGCCTGTCGATGATCTAGTTTACGTTTTGTTGACGGGCTCTTATCGAAGTGGGACCCATCGCTCCTCCAGAGTCGCCAGAGGGTCAGTCAGGGGACGTAACCTGTTAGCCATGAATGTGAAACTTTCAATGACAATTGATGTACGCAAGAGGCTTCTGCTGTCCACATAGTACTTGATCTTGCCCTCAATTCCCCCTGGTAAAGAACTACGCCCCTGGGCAGGTAACCAAGCATCAAACACACGCGACACTCAATTGACATTAGCGTCCAATCTAGTCATCATCTATGGGTACCAACGATACGCGCACTAATACTGCCACTGGCCAACCACCCACCCACCACCATAGATCCACTCTACAGCGCCGACAATTAACGTGTTCAATCAGCATGAAAACCATGTCGAAGTCATCATGGATGAGCCGGCAACAGCGGCTTGGATCAGTTCAAACGAAGCCCTAGCCCAGAGCGGTCGAGTGAGAGTCCCAGAAATTCCGAATACAAATTTTCAAATTAGATCAAAATGCTCAGCGTTAAACTGATGCATCTGATGCTGATAATTGGCACATACAGCGGCATTTTTGTGCCTGGCAGTGCACAAAATCTGTTGGACCGTCTCCGGTCTCCGGTGAATGTGACGCGGTTCGATGATGGCATCAAAGTCGTCTCCGGCACCAAAGTGAAGCGATACGAACGTCTGACGGTGCCACTGGGCGGTCCTGTTGGCATACCAGGAGGTGCTGCTGGTCTTTTGGGGCCACTGCTACCACCACAACCGGCTTACTTGGGATACACCTATGTAAGCAATTGGCACAGAACCTTCGGCACACTATTAACCCATCATTTATTTATTTATTTATTATTTAGTTGGTGCCGCAATGGCAGGCGGGTGCGAAGCTTATGGGCGATGGCGAGGCAGCCGGCGTGGCTGGCATGATCACCTTCCAGCAGCTGCCCTACAACTCGGACATCAAGGTGACCATCAATGTGACTGGGCTGCCGCCGGGCAAGCATGCTCTGCATATCCACACTTTTGGTGATATGAGTGATGGCTGCAAGTCCACGGGCGGACAGTTTCCCAATAACTTTGTAAGTTCCTGAAGCAAAGAAGCAAATCTGGAGACACTTTACGCCATAAAATACATACTTTCAGCTGGGCAATGTGGACGCTAAAGACGATGGCAGCATATCCGCGGTCTTCCAGAGCATCTACATCCAATTGTTTGGTTTCAACGGCATTGTGGGTAGGGCCATTGTTATACACAGCAAGGCGATCGATCTGAATACGGCTCTCAATGCGGAGGTCTTCTCCTCGGCGCTTCAGGCCATGCCGAATGCCTTGGCCTATCAAAACGAGGAGAACTCTGTGGGTCCATCCATAGCTTGCGGCGTGATTAGCCTGATGAGCACCGCCGTGGCTCCTGCATCCAGTTCATCGGCTGCGGCAGTGGAAAAAAGGGAGACATAATGCATTTTTAACAAATATTCTAAAGCTATTTAAATAAATATTCTACTTATCGTCTTAATGGAATAAAAGCTTCTTATTATTTAAAGATTTATTTAGATTTAAGCGCTCCCAAAGGCAATTATATTTAAATCAAAGTGAATTCTATTTAATTTCCCAATGGTTGTATTTAAAAATCGAATATTTAATTTAAACTTGGGTTTGTTTCTTTATAATATTCCCTTTTTTTCTTCATTTTAGAGGCCAGCAGAAAGCCTGCAGATTAAATTTAAGCACACACCTGCACGTTTCTGCCTAGCGAGAGATAATGCAGTGATCCATGTTTGTACAGTGATGGAAAAAATAATAGAAACGACAATTTTTTTTCGCATTTTTCAAAATTTTCTTCAGTCAAAATTTTTATTTTTTAAGTTTAATAATTTTGACTAATAGTCTATACAGTTATGTATCAAAACATAACAAAATAATAATTTAAAAAAAATTAGTGTAGCAAAAATAAATTTTTTCATTTTTAGGGCCTGGAAAAAATAATAGAAACGGCCGAACTAAAGCTATGAAAAATTGTTTTTTATCTTCAAAAAAGTTAACCTACTAACCGGTTAATTTTTAGCTTATATATTTGGATGTAATACCGCGATTTTCAGTGACTTCGACCCATCTGAGAGCCTATGGACTCCACCAGTTCGTCATAAATGGATGGATCCATGGAGAACCATTCGGACTTAACATTTTGACAAAAATCGTTCCTATTTTTGGTCTTATAGCCACCAGTCCTTTTCATTAAGATCTCCTAAAGGTAATCTATACGATTAAAGTCTGATATTTCATCAGGCCAATCCATTAGGGAAACTTCTTTGTCCAGGAACCATTTTTTGGTCAGCATTTAGGAGTGATTCGGGTCATTATCCTGATCGAACTACCACTTTAATGGTATTTCCTACTCAGAATTATACTGGCGAGTATATTTACATAGTCGGAGGCACACATTTTTTTCTATATCCAAAGTATTGGACCAATAACCGAATGGATAAAGCATCCCCACAACATTATGTGCCCACCACCATGCATACCCGCTTTAACAGAATACCTGGGTCGTGAGAAGTAGTATTAAAATGCCTTATATGAAGTGCCCCAACAAATATAAGCCCATTTACCTTAGTTTCATATGACTTTAACACATTTTTGTAACTTGGACGACATAAATGCACCTTCGCGAAATTTACTCGGTTTCTAAACTTTTTTGGAAAGTAGTGTTATATTTTTTGAGCTATATGACCTTTTAAATTGACATCAATCAGCCTATTCCTTATAGTACGACTACTAACCCGTGCTTTAAGATCATTTTTCAGATCTATCAACGAGAGAAAGGGATTTTTTTTGGATTTTCGAACAATGCGCCTGTCGAAATGAACCCATGTTCCGGGCTTTCATACGCGTGTGGTTCGCTATTTTTTGTAGTAAATCGAAGTAAACACTCTTTTTAAATCCATTTTAGATATGTGTGACCATCTGACCTTGTGTGGCCCTCAGTTTTTAGATTTAGGATATGTTTTTTTTAATATCCCTACAATATACTCCACGACCCATTCTGAACCGAATAATAACAACAACAAAAACGGTATCCTTAGGAATAGGTATTTCATATCTTCTTTTGTCTTTTGGCGATAATATATTACCTATATAATTCGATTTTAACCGTTTTATTACAATATAAGAACAAAATTGGAATGCGTTTCTATTATTTTTTCCAAGACAAAAACGTGATCTTCCTACAAATTAGTGTACCTAGCTTATAATTTTTACGAAAGGAGCCCCAAAGAGAATCCAAAGTAAACACCCATTATCCTGACACTAAGCACAGTTGTTTTTATTCAAAAAATTTGCTCCAAAAATGAAATATTTGGTTTCAAATTTGAATGCGCATGCCGTTTCTATTATTTTTTCCATCACTGTATATCTACATATAGATTCTATACAAATAGTGTGATTATTACGAAATTCTTAAAGTTATTACGTCATGCGAAGTTATTGCTAATAAGCCAACAAATATCAACATCAATATCAATGTTGACACAATATGCTGCAGCCTGCAGAAGAGTTTCATTGGAATCGCTGGGAAGCACAGGGAAAAGTCAGTGCTATACTCTGCCTGCAATAATTATACGATCGCCATAAACATTTTTGTAGATCAGCGACACAGAAAATTGCACAAATTTTAGAGCACCAACCTGCCTGCCGTTTATCTTTGGGAGCTGAACATGTTCAAACAGACAGACAGACAGACAGCAATGCCATGCCCGGTCGATGATCCATTCTATGCTGTAATCTGCGCGTGGCGGCCTCTATAAAAATAATCTTCAGATCTAGCAAAGTTTTTACCATCGTCTGTTATCCATTTGGCATGTTGGTTGGGGTCTTTCATTTCAATTCATTGCAATGGGAGGGGGCCTGGGACTTGGACTTATCAAATTCTGCTCAGCTTTAATGGCAGCTACGTGCAGCGCATGCCCAAAGGTCTTGGGGGCGCCCCCAAAGCAAACTTTCTTCGCACGTTGCATTCAACGCTTTGGACAGTTGCTTGCCAAAGCTCAAGATGTGCGTACGCGAAAGTAAAAGTTTTCCCAGCCACTGGATTATTATTTTCTTGGTTCTGGGCTTGGCCCAGGCCTTGACAGAGGAGGAGGCGGCTCTCCCAGAGGATATCGCAGATCCTCTGTTCAGCACAGATGAGGCCAAGTTCGATTGGCCGTGGGCGCGCAACAAGACCACCAAAGGCACACCGGCGGGCCTCAATTTGAAGAACGACTACACACAGATGGACATTGGCAGCTTCAGTGACTTTGACCGTCATCCGTGCCGACGTGTCTGCCAGCAGGGCCAGTCGCAGAGCTGCTACTACCAGCTGGTGGTGCACAACTACCAGAGACTGGGACCCGAGTGCCAGCGCTGCCAGTTCGATGAGCGGGCGTGTGCCGCGGAGCACTGCATCTATGGCGATGGTGTGGCCTCGCCCGTAATGGCCGTCAATCGAATGATACCGGGTCCGTCGATCGAGCTGTGCGAGAACGATTCTGTGGTGGTGGATGTGCTCAACTATCTGGGCGAGGCCACCACCATGCACTGGCATGGCCTGAATATGGTGGGCACACCGGAGATGGATGGAGCGGCATTTGTCACTCAGTACCCGCTGCAGCCGGGCGAGGTCTATCGCTACGAGTTCAAGGCCGATCGGGGTGGATCGCTGTGGTACCACAGCCACATGGGCTGGCAGCGGGGATTCGGTGTGGCTGGTCACCTGATCGTACGACAGTCGCGTCAGGCCAATCAGCACGCGCATCTCTACGACTACGATCTGGTCGAGCATGCGCTGATGGTGCAGGACATCTTCTACGACCGCGAGCTTCAGACGGTGCGAAATATTCTCATCAATGGCAAGGGCAGAAATCATCTGAATCAGCTGCCGGATAACGACAACCGACACCGCTACGAGCGTCTCAGGGTTACGCCTGGCTATCGCTATCGCATGCGAGTCCTGCTCAATGGGATCTCCAACTGTCCCGTGGAGTTCTCCATCGAGGAGCACAAGCTGCTGATCATCAGCACAGATGGCAACGACATTGAGCCCGTGCTGGCTGATGGATTCTTCCTCACCTCTGCGGAGAGATTCGACTTTGTGCTGGAGGCCAATCAGTTGGCCACGAACTACTGGATCCGTGTCCGTGGCTACGAGCAGTGCGAGGGTCGCAAACTCTATCAGGGCGCAGTGCTCAGCTATCGGGGCGCCACACGCACTGAGCAGCCACGGGGCAACATTTTGCCCACAATTGCCCCACAGAGCAGAGCCCTGGATGGTGTGGATAATCTGCTTAAGCCCACAAATAGCTCCGAGCAGAGCAGAGCTCTGGATGAGGGCCGCGTGCTGGTCAACGATTATCGCATTGTGGCCACGATTGCCGCCGGCCCGGAGGCCTTTCTGCGTCTGGCCACGGCCGAGAAGGACAACAATGTGGGCACTGTGGCGCTGCGTTCGCTGCAGCCTGTTCCCTGGCCACGCAACACCAGGTTCCTCACCTACTACTCCAGTTTCAGTCTCCGCCGGGCACCCAATGGCGAGCTGCTCTTCCAGATCGATGAGATCTCGTACATTCCTCCGGGCATATCCCTGCTGCAGGGTCGGCATCTCCTCCAGGAGGGTGGATACTTCTGCAATCGGAGTTCCCTCGCCGCTCAGGGGCGCAACTGCCAGCAGGATGTCTGCGAGTGCCTGAACGTAATCCGTATGCCTGCCTACCGCCCCATCGAGATGGTGGTGGCCAACTACATGACCAGCACGCATCCCTACCACATCCATGGCAACTCCTTCCGCCTGGTTGGCCAAGGTGTGGTCGGCAATATTGATGAGCTTCGCAATGTGAGTATATCCACACAATGAATCCTCCCATTTCGATTAATTCCAAACCGTTTCCCTTCACAGATACAGAATCTCGATCGGCAGGGACGTCTACCGCGCCTGCCAGATCACTACCATGCGGTGGTCAAGGACTCGGTGCAGATACCCGGATTGGGCTACATCATTGTACGCTTCATTTCCAACAATCCCGGCTTCTGGCTGTATCACTGCCACATCGAGGCCCACGCAGTTCAGGGCATGATGGCCGTGCTCAAGATCGGTGAGGATCACCAGATGAAACGAGTTCCGGCTCGTGTGCGGTGTTAGTTGTAGAAAAGTTATTTCTCATAGCTACCATTTAATGTTATTTAATTTCTTTATTTCTATAAATATAAATATAATTATATTTATTTATTGCTTGTGATTCTGATAGTTTTGGAGCTCCGAATGGTGTCAGATAATTCGGTGATTTTTAATAAATATTTGGCAAGGCTCCTTGAGGCAGAAATGCAGATGGGATACAGCAACATGGAAATCAGCAAAATTTAAGCCAAAGTGGCTAGCCACTAGCCATACACAATTGATAAGAGAGCGAAACACTTTATAAATCAGAGGACTCTTCAATATTGCGTCTATTAAATTGGCTAGAAAATGTATTATCTTAACATTTCTTTTTTCCATTTCTCGACAGGTTGCTGTCGTCTATTTTGCCTGTTTAGATTAATTTTCGATGAGAGGTTCAATTGCTGTACAAACATTTGCTTAAGATTGGCGAGCTTATCAAATAACTTAAAGTAAAATCTTACAGATAACACAATAACTCAATCAAGTAGCACTGTTCTCCTTCTCCTTCTCGTATTGCTGCATTATGGAAATCACGGGCTCGTTAATATACACACGAACTTCGTTGTTTAAGGCAAAGTCGCCGTGATCCCACATCGGATCCAGCATGCGGTGCATAAACTTATTGGGCAGACGCTCGCTCAGTGCCTCGACATCTTCCACGGCGACCAAAGCATCGTTGTCGGAATACCACAAGTGAACATCTGAGGTGATCAGCTCCACGGGGTACTGCGGTGGCTCCTCCGAACCATAGATCTTTAAATTCTTCTTGGGGCCATAATCGAATTGACGGAAATAGCCAGACTGCTGCTCCTGGAGGTAGTGAAGCATTTGATCGGTCGAACAGCCCGCCGGATGAGTAGCCAAACCATCTGGCATGGCGGTCTACGGGTAGATTGGGAAGCTTTCAAATCAAAGTAAAACGAATTTTTGGATTTCATGTTACTTACCATATTGACACGACCAGCGGTGTAGATCGACTCTATGGCATTTACGCACAGCGGACGCAGCAGGAAGTCAGGCTCACACAGGTTGAAAAGCAGAGCCATGAGGAAGTCGTTGTGGGGCAGGAACTCCTGGGAACCAAACAGCTTTGCATATATATTCTGATGGCCCAAATAGGGACCCAGAGCCCGCACCAATTTGTTTGTCAGATGCGTCATGATCGCCACCGGGGCAAACATGTGAGCTGTCTTGATTTTCCCATTGTACTCCGGCCGGGAGGACATCAGGGCAAAGAACACCGTCGTTCCCTGGGAGTGACCCACATAGTGGATGGCCTCCTGTCCCCTGCCATTATCGGTGGACAGCGCATAATCGATCATGGCCGCAATATCGTAGATTCCAATCTCGTGCCATGTGAACTGCCAGAAGTAGGGATGCTTTGTGGAGAGCTTCGTGTGGTTCTTGGAGTAGGTGGTGCCGCGGCCATTGCCCATCCAAACGTCGTAGCCAGCATCGGCCAGCAGATAGGGTAGGCCATCATTAGGTCCACACAGGATCCAGGCATCCGAGCAGCTAGTCAAGCCGTGCTGCAGCAGGACAATGGGACGCTTCTCGTTCTGGTTCTGAAGCTTGTGGGAGTAGGGTATGCGAAAGATCCCCAGGATATAGCCGTCATCGGTGACGACATTGTGATGTTCGGCTGGATAACCGTGAGCGGCAATACGATCGGCCTACGGGTGGATCCACCAGTTAATAATTTATCTCAGGAGTAATTTTTAATCTCTAGCATCCACTTACAGTCGTCAATCGATCCTTGAGGCCGATGTGTGCCTCTGGGTTATCGTATAGCTGGTAGAAATCGACTGCCCCCACCGGCTCATCTAGTGCTGCGGCATAGCTGCCCACGGACAAGCAAATCAGGATCAGTAACTGCCTGCAGATCGGGTTCATCATGGTTGGGCGATGGTTCGTTGAATACTGAGTGCTGGCCAACGTAAGGCTTTCAGCTTTTGTAGCAGTCCCAAAGTGGTTCGATCTCAAGTAGCTTTAGCTATCAAGATGTTGATTACATATATGTATATATATATTTGGACTCTCGAGATTATGCACCCATAAGGAGCAAAATCTACTTAAAAGCTACACAATTCGGATTAGAGAAATTAAACATATATGTATTTAAAATCAAAATAAATTCCATGCTTTTCCATGCATTGAAAATCCCAGTTGATTATTATGAGTGGGTAAAACCCTCAGAGTATTATTGGGTACTATGTAAACTGACAAAATAAAACCATATATGCCTATGCCATAAATCTAAAATCCTAATTGATGTATTCCGAAAATTGTGTACATTTTTCGAAGAATTACTTGCGTCACCTTCGCGTACTTATCGGCAATTAAAGCCACTTGAAGAGTCGTGTGATAATCCACAGAAAATACCCCCCATCGAAAGTTGTTGTTGTTATTATAGATTAGTGAGCAATTTATAGATTTTTAGGGGGGATGCAAAGGCAACTACCTATAAACTTTACGGCATGTACTTTCTAATGCAAAAATTACTATTTGATTAGAAAAGCCGGTTAAGTCGGTTATGATCCAATGAATGAAATATTTATGTGGAAGCAAGACCTTGTTCACCTTAGAAGTGGATCTACTTGTGGGTGTCTAAGAGGCATATCCGTTCAGTTCATGATAAGATTGCATTTATTCTGATTTATATTAATAGCTAAAACTAACTAAAATATTTAATAAAATATTTAATCCATTATCACTGTGGGTTTTCTGCTTCGTGTGCACTCATGATGGCGATAATTGGATCATTGATGTACTGGCGCACTTGCCAGTTCATGGCAAAGTCCCCATGATCCCACAGCGGATCCTCCATATGATGCATCTCTGCGTTGGGAATTGTCACGCTCAGGCGGAGAACATCCTCCACGGCGGCCATCTCATCGTTGTCCGAGTACCACATGTGCATTTCACACGTGATCTGCTCGGTGGCATAATCAGCGGGTGTATTCGTGCCGTAAAATTTCTGATTCCTCTTTGTGCCGAAGTCGAACTGGCGAAAGTGTCCGGACTGGTGTTCCTGCATGTAGTGCAGAATCTGGTCGGTTGAGACGCCAGCGGGAAAGGCACCAGCCAGCAAAGATGAAGCGGTCTATACAGTTAAGAAGTAAGCATATTAGAAAATCATAACTTAATTAGAGGATTAAATTTGATGGCCCTACCGTATTGGTTCGTCCTTCTTTGGATGTATCATCATCGCTGCTGCTGCTGCTGCTGCTGCTGCAGAAACCAGAGACCACAGATTCAGGACGGCAAACGTTGTACATCAGCGCCAGAACAAAGTCATTGTGGGGCAGGAACTCCTGGGAGCAGAAGAGCCGCGAGTAGGCATTGTTGAATCCCAGATAGGGGGACAAGCTGTTCACCATGAAATCATCCATGTGATCCATAAAGGCCACCGGGGCCAGCATGTGAGCTGTCTTGATCTTGGCATTATACTCCGGCCGCGAAGACAGCAAAGCGAATAAAACCGTTGTGCCCTGCGAGTGGCCCACATAGTGGATGCCCCTCTGTCCCTTGCCGTTCTCCGTGGCGAGCGTGTAGTCGATGGCAGCGGCGATGTCGAAGTAACCAATTTCGTGCCAGCTGAACCGCCAGAAGTTCGGATGCTTCGTGGAGAGGGAAGTGTGATTCTTGGAGTAGCGATTACCCCGAGCATTTCCCATCCAGACATCGTAGCCGGCATCCGAGAGCAGGAAGGGAAGGGCATCGTCGGGGCCCAGGCTGGGCCAGCCATCGGAGCTGCCGAACAGTCCGTGCTGGATAAAGGCGATGGGACGCTGCTGGTCCTCGTTCTGCAGGTTGTGCGAGTAGGGAATGCGGAAGACGCTGACTATGTAGCCATCTTCGGTGGTCACATAGTGCCGCTCCGCTGGATAGCCGTGCTCCGTGATGTAATCGAGCTGTGGCAACCGAGAAGGTTGAGTACTCGACAATTAAATGCCACTTCTCTGTGCATAGTTACCGTGGTGGGTGCAGTGGCCAAGGACAGATGCGCATCGGGATTGTTGAACAACCGATAGAAGTCGGTAACCTCCGCTGGGTCCGCAGGAGCACTCTGTCCGATTGTGCCCAGGCAAATCCATGCCAAAGCGAAGTAGACACCGATGTGAGATCCGGACATATTTCTGCTGAACTACAGAAAATGCGCAGCGCGCGCTCCCTTTAAAGACTAGCGCCTTGGACTCGATTAGTGGGCTAATCTCTTTTCGATAAGTATAGTCAACATTAGCCAATTAAATGGGCATAAACTGAAGTGGAGGACCACCCATAAACTCTCGCATGGGAATACCCAAAGCGACATAACTTGCAGCAAGCAGCGAAGAGAGTAATTAAATTACTCTTTGCTGGATGGATTTTTTCTCTAATCCGAATTTTATAACTTTTAGATTTTGCTCTTTATGGATCTCGGCAGTCTAAATATATATAATCCAACCTATATATTCAAAATGCATATCTGAGACTTGAATACATTTTACTCCTTGAAACGATTGCGTTATGTTCTTAGCAGCAACTCTAATCAACTTTGCCCAACATCAGATCAAACCTCCATTCACTACATAATCGACCAGAGGAACGCATGTAATATTTCCACTTGAGCAATTGCTGATTGCGAGTGAATGGATTGGCCGGCCGGCCAGCCAGACAGGAGAGAGAATAATGCATATTCGAGCATTTCATTACCATTTCACTAGTTCACAACCCAAACATCTCTCCGAGGGCCCAGTCGATAGCTGTGTGTGTGTGTGTCTGTATCTGAGCCGTTCAATTAGGCATAAAAATCCCCGGGTGGATATGCTAAAACGAAAGGAGAAACAAGAAGATAGTCGGGCTTCTGATGGCTGCATGCCAAGTTCAAGGTCATGATTCGAGTGTTCTGACTCTCGATTTGCCAGCCAAACATGGATTTGATTTAATTGGTCTTAATTTGTGGGCCGTCTAATCAATTGCCATGCATGGTTCTTGTCGAGCCGAGAAATATCCGTGCGATTACTTAATTGGATTAATTTTAGTGTACAATGTAAATGGTAGGCTGGCAGTGCATTAATTCACTGATCACTGAGCACAAGCGAGTGCCTGCTATATTTAGTTTGAGATTAAATCACTCTCCGCCACTCTCCGGCCACTTCTCTCTGCAGTCAGCGGAAAGTAGAATTACAACACAAACACAAACTGAAACGAGCAGCGAGGCGTGGCAAATAAAAAAACACACGGAAGCGTTAAATTGGCTCAAGTGTGCCCAAAACAAAACGAAAACCAGCAGAACAAAAATGTATACAGCCACACAAGAAGCGAGCCAAACAGTGCCAAAGTCAAGGCAAACTGCACACAAGGTTTGAGCAACAACAACAGCAGCTGCAACATCCAAGCAGCAGCTGCAGTCATAGAGAAGAAATATCAGAAAAAGTAACTAAACAACCATGTGGGTGGGTTCTTGCTCTTAACCCTTCAGTTTTGTATTTAAGAGTTTAATATTTTTATGCACAATTTTTAGCTGTTTCAAAAATATTACCCATAAACAGAATATCCATAAATATCAGCGGACAAATAATTAAAAACGCAGCGTAAATTCGGCTGAACTTTATTGATCAATAAAATCACAATAAAAAGAAATTATCCAGCAATAAAAGTGTTTTAATTTAATAAAGAAACAGATAAAGAACAGGGCAGGGAGCACTGCCAATTGGTTAAATTTAAGCTAGTATTTGGCGCCAAGTCATAAAGCCAGAAAATTTGTGGCTCGCAGACAAATTAAGTCCAGCCAAAAAAGGGTCAAGAGCTGGTGCCGGATTTTCGGTCATTATTTTGCATATGCTAAACACTGGTGTTCCGTCTCGCTTTTACTGATTTTTCCTTCATTTTTTGTTTGCCGCACAAAAATAATTAAATTTTGTAGCACTTTGTGGCCTTTATTTTCTTTGGCGCCATATTTGCATTGTGTTTTTTTTTTTTTTTACTTTTATTGCGGCTGCTACTGTCCCGCTATCTGCGCGTAATTTCTGCTCTTTGAAGAGATAAGGGGGCATATACCATATACTAGTAGTAGGTACTACTTTAGCCGTTTGTGTTTACACGAATTTATGATTTTAAGTGTATTATCTTTTTTTTACAATTATTACATGTTCATCCAGTCACTTCTTTTGGGTGTAATGTTTGCTTGTTAACATTAACGAATAGTGCTTGTATTTTGTTGAGCTTTATCTATGGGGCTGGGCCTCCATTAAAATCTAATTATAATATGTTGCAACTTTGGAAGGGGAAACCAAACTTTTGCAACTGTGCTAAAGGCTTGAAGTTGATCTAATTGTTATATATTGTTCTAATGGCAAATGCAATTAAGTTTTTGTCTAATCATTTAAGCTGCTGGTAATTTTCTGCCGTCCATCCTTTCAGGTTCTGATGTCCCAACCAAAGGTTAACTCTGCAAAAGATTACCCCAAAAGTGGAAGTCACGTTGTGTGTGTATGTGCATTATTTAGGTTTCTCAAATTGAATTTCACCTTCCTTCCTCGCACACTGAAACATATATGTATATAGTTCCTATATGTAATTGTCAAAAATCAATTGGTGCGCTTGGAGCATGACTGCAGCTGAGACTGTTTTAAGTTAACACAAATTGCTGCACAATTCGCAGGCATATAACTCTGCTATTGTCCGCCCATTAATGTGCATTAAAACCAATAAAATAGAGCTGAAGCAGTAAATGGATTCAAGGCGAGCACGCGTACAAGTGACATCGTTTCCATTCACTTTGCACTTGAGATGGGGTACAGTCAGCCAAGAGTGAAACCTGCCGCAGTTTCACAGTTTCACGCGCTGCTACTGCCAGTCGGATGTAGCCAATTTGGGCATTTGAACGGTTAGCTAACTCTGTTGGCCATTTTCAAAATTCGATTTGTGTCGCATCCTGTTTCGCCGCTTAACTCAATTTGCTGGCAGAAAAATGCCCCCAAATGGACAATATCCACTGCAAAGTTGTGGGCGTGATAATATTTCCCCGAACATTTAATTCAATTTAAATTACGGTCCCGTATTCAACACGCATAAGTCATGCCTTGGCCTTGGCCTGGCGCATTCAGCAAATACTAAGCAGCTCTTGAGGGTCGGTCTAATCTTCGACAAATACAATGTCTCGGCCAACACTCTGCTACATGGATCAGCTATCCTTAACGCCGTTGCCCATATCTATCTCTCAGTTTTGTTCCCAGGTGTTGCGATAACCAGTAGCCACTCGTTAAAACCAAACAGTACTCGTAGCCAAGTGACGTACCAAGTTTTGGTTTTTTTTAATGGAATTTTACCCTATTTTGATGTTGTAAAACTAGGATTTAGATATCCAAACTTTGTGGGTATATTGCATTTATATATATTACCGAGCGTCGGGCATAAAGCCGCAGACACGCCACGTCCGTGTACAAAGGAAAGTAATTTACAATCTGGCAAATCTAATGGCAGACGCATCTTAAGTACACGCGGCACCAAATGGGGGGTGTGCATTTGTCTATCTACGAGCATTCGAGCGGACCACAGTAGGCCTCAGTTGCCCAGTGTCGCGACTGACATACCCCTGGCAAATTAGGTGATAAAGCTTTACACAAAGCCTCAGACAGCACGATACAAGATTTGCGTGAATTATGAGAGGGGGGAGGTTGGTCGGTCGCTGCTGATGATGCTGATGCTGCCTACTGCTTTGCCATGGAAAGTTGATAAGATCTCTGGTGATCTCTAACGCCAACTACCGTCGAATAATTGAGTTCAGTGCTCAGTCGTGATTTGGAGCAGCCACTTGTGTGTGCTCTCGTCTAAATTGAAAACGATCTGGTCGCCGTGTGATCGTAATCCTGACACTCAAGGATCTGCGGATCGTGTGGGATATTTTTTCATTTACTTACTTACTTATTAAAAGTCGACTGAAATCAAATTTTAGCTCAACTTTTCAGCATATTTCTATGTAGCTTAAAGTGAAAAGTGTTCTGTTAGTACTAAAAAAAAACCCTAATGAAAAATCGAAACCGTTTCGCAGTGCCAAACTAAAACAAAAGTAATCAAATCCGACGGCATTAAAGTGAAGCGATTGAACGCGGCTGGAAGTCAATAAAAATAAATCCATAAAAGCAACTTGTGGTCCACGAAATAATGTCAGCCACTACGAGTCCAGTGGACTCAACTACTGCCACTGGCAGCCCCACCACAATAACCTCCACCGCCGCAACAATGACCAATGCGATTGTGAAGACAGTGGAGGCCATAATTAGCAACACGGCGCCAGCAGCCAGTCCCAGCTCTAGTGCCCACCCAACGCCCACTCAATCGTCCACTTTCGCATTCACTCCCACGACGACAGCCTCCATGGGCGGCCCGGAAGAGAAACTCAGCGTGAAGGATTTGAGTCAAACGCTGCAGCACTTTGGCATCGTCGACTATTTGGTGTTCATAGCCATGCTGGCGGTGTGCGCCGTCATCGGGGTCTATTTCGGTTTCATCGAGAAGAAGCAAAAGGCCAAAAAGAAGAAGGGCCAGCTGGACGGCAAGGATGGGGCTGGTGCGGCCGGAGTCGAGGAGCGACGCGGCTCGGAGGCATTGGATTACCTGGTGGGCGGTCGTCAAATGAAAGTGTTTCCGGTCGCGCTGTCACTGGTGGCCAGGTGAGTTACGGTTAAAGCTCTATGTAAATGTTAAATTGGCTTTGGCCACGTAGCTTTTTTTTTTTTTTCCTTTTTTTGTATCTGGCTACAGGATATGTGACACTGCTGTTTAATTGCTTTTGACGTGACCAGGAACGATAGAGATTGAGGTTGCTTCATGTTTGCGGTGCCCGGAGATTTGATGGGCTTTCTTAAAGTCAATTGCGACTCTTTGCTCTCTTTAAGTCTCTTGAGGGATAATCCTTAAAATTAAGTGGCATGCATTTCCTTGAATTTTGATATTATTTGGTTTATTCTAAATGAAATTCAGGCAGCCATTTTGAGGGACTTTAAGGGGGGATAATCTCCTGCAAATTGATGAGGATGTGCGTGCATTCACTTGAATTCTGAAATAATATTTGCACAAATTATCGTAATGGGCTTGGCTTATCCCTGGCAAATCAATCTAAATAATTTTTTAGCAATTTTCCACATCGACCA